GGATGACCTTCCGCGTAGAAAATCTGGTCGGGGTGCCCAGAAGTCTAAAGCCAAGGCTGGCACTCAGACTCGTGCGCGATCAAGCGCTCGCACGAGCCGCAGGGCATCGCGAAAGAGCGCATCTGGTGCAAGCTACGTCTTCGATCCGATCGTCCTTCCAGGCGACTCCGCAGAGGAGGCAGAATCGCAAGAAGAGTTCGACGGCGCCTTCAGACCCGGCAAAGGTCAGACCAAACGTAAGCGCAAGAAGTTCGTGCCGCTCTATCCTTCGAGCGATGAAGATTTCGAGTATGGAGACTACGGACTGCCTCTGCATCAGCGACGAAAAGCTCCACCCCTCCCATCCAAGCAGAAAGTCAAGATACAACCTCACATCGACTTTGAGATCGACCCGCTCAGCGAGGATGCTCTAGCCACGTACGGCAAATTGCGCGACGTTTCCCCGATGCCCAAAAAGCGCTCTGCTAGACTCGTCGGATCGGATGATAGCTTACTTTCCGACGCTGCGGACGACTCCGGCGTGGACGCCTACTTGCAGGACAGTTCAGATCTGGACGACTCGGACAATGTCAGCGTCGTTTCGGACGAGTTGGACAAGTCTACGCGCGCTGCGCGTCATCGTCGCAACTCGGTCGAGATGCTCTCCGACTCTTCGGACGGAAAGTCGCGCAGAAGGCGAGCCAAGAGCGAGGATAGCGCAGAGGAGCACTACCACGTCTCGGAAGACGAGGAGCCCAAATTTGATCAGGATGGACTGCCCATCGAGAAGAGTCTGCTGGGAGAACATTGGCCTACTTGTCACAAGTGCGGCGAAGAGTCTGCACTGAGCTTGATGGGTGGCCTGCAGCGATTGGTAGGCAAACTGCGTCGTGAGGGCAAACTTCGAAAGGGGCGATTGATGGAGCGCAAGACGAAAGGCGGACGCGTGTCAAATCTGATTGGAGAGTTTGACGAGACGGAAGCGATCGAGGGAACGCTGGAAGATCGCGTGGAGGAGAGACGACAGGGCATTCTACAAGCTGGAGGATGGCTGGAATGCTGCACGTGCTCCGCCTCTTTCCACTGGGGATGCCTCGCCGCCCCTCGTCAGCGCCGTATCCTGGACGAGATCAACGCCATACACGAAGCAGCTCAGAAGGCCCTCGAACCGGGCAAACCTTTTGTAGAGAGAGAAGGGCTAAAGTGGAACGAGTTCGTTTCCTTTGTCGAATGCTCGGATTGCTTTACGGAACATGGAAGGAGGTGCATGCTGTGTCATTCGGACGAGCCGCGCGAGCTGGACGCGCCACCCATGTTCCGCTGCCATCGGTGCAGGAGGTGCGCCCACTACGAATGCTGTCGACAAGTCACTGGTGACTCGACCGTGGAAGAGACGGCTGTAGCGAGGCAGGGCGCCCAATGGCAATGCATGGACGTGAGTACCCTCTGTGCTCGGGTGTGTCTTGTGGAACGCCTGCTGATTCCTTTCTGGTCGCGCCATCGCAGTGCGAAGTCTGGGGTAGAGTGGCGTCTATCATCGCTTGGCGTCCCTCCGCCGAAGCGGCTGCCGAACCAGAGCCAGAGCCGGCGCCAGGCGAGCCATTGCCGGTCAGAAGTTTCAAGGAGAATTTGCACAGAGAGTACCTGGTCAGATTCGTCGACGTATCCTTTCGCAACACCCAATGGGTACCGCACGCATGGCTCAGTGTAACCAACTCTCACCTGCTCAATCACTTTTTGCAAAAGGGCACTCGCGTCGAGCTGGAAGACAAGGCGATCAAGGGCGTAGGAAAGCCTATCATCAATGCTCAGTCGGCAAGGGCTGGTGTGGCAGGAACGCTGGCACGCGGTCGTAAGAGTGCTGTGGAGCTGCTCTCGCAGGCCCCTGCCACGCGCAGGCGTCGAAGGCGTAGAAGGCTCGAGCTGGTCGAGGATCAGACGAATGATCAGGTGGCCATTGTCGCTGATGGACCTCCTCGAGCGGTCCCTGATGCTCAGTTGCGAATCCCATTCCCTTGGCGCACGCCAGACCGAGTGTTGGACTGCTTCTTCAAAGTAGACATTCTGGGCGCTGCAGGTCGCATCGCGGCACGCAACAAGGAGCCGCCAAACCCTAATCGTCGTCCACGAGCAAAGCAGCATGCCGAAAATCGTCAAAAGTATCGCGAAGATCCCAACATGATTCACATTGATGATTTGGACGAAAACTTGCTCGACCCCGAGAGTGCTCTCGAAAGCTTGCCGTACGTCGCCAAAATCTTTGTCAAGTGGGAAGATATAGGATACGACTTGAGCACGTGGGAGGATGGACCGAGCCCTGTTGATCAGGCGGACGTGTACGAAGAGTTCGTGGCTGCTTATCGTCGGTACTTGCAAGGTCGAAAGGTTTTCGTGCCCTTGCTCAGCGCCAAGCAGCTTCAAGACCTTGACAACAGGAAGGGCCTTTCCTTCAAGCCGTTCCGCGAGCAGCCACGCTACGTCTGCGAGGGGCAGCTGCTGGACTTCCAGCTCGAAGGCCTCAATTGGATGCGCTTCAACTGGTTCAATCATCAACCTGGCATATTGGCAGACGAGATGGGTCTGGGCAAGACGATCCAAATGATCTCCTTTTTGGGCTCGCTGTACCACGAGTACAATGTGTCTCCCTTCTTGATCGTCGTCCCCAACTCGACGATTGGCAATTGGGTCAGAGAATTCGAAACGTGGATGCCTTCGATGCGAGTCGTGCCTTACTACGGCGTTGCGGACTCGCGCGACGTCGTCGAGAATTACGAGCTGTTCCATGAGAACAAGATGGACGGCCGGCAGGCGCTCAAGGCTCACGTCGTGCTCGTATCTGACACGATGGCTCGTGCGACGCCGGCCGTGCTGCGCAGAGTGCAGCATTGGCAAGTGATGGTGGTGGACGAAGGTCAGAGTTTGAAGGGAGGAGAATCCAACAAGCTCGTCAGGCAGCTCAACGACTTGCCTGCTGAACATCGCATGATCATGACCGGCACGCCGCTCAACAACAACATTGGCGAGCTCTTTAATCTGCTCAATTGGCTACAGCCTGGCGGCGATTGGTCCCGCATCGAAGATCTCAAGAAGGAATATGAAAGCCTCACGCCGGCGCTGATCGAAGAGCTTCAACCTCGCTTGCGACCTTTTTTCCTTCGTCGACTCAAGGCGGATGTGGTCAACCTGCCTGCAAAGACGGAGCTCATCGTTCCCATTTCTCTCAAGCCTGTGCAAAAGCAGATCTACAAGAGTATCCTCGAGGCGAACATCGAAGATATTCAAGGTCTGCTCAACGAGCGGCACGGCAAAGGCAAGAAGAAGAAGATTGTGCTCAACATGAACGGGATCCTCTCTCAGCTTCGCAAATGCTGCCAGCACCCTTATCTGATCGCTCCGACGCTCGAGATTCGAGAGGGCGATCGCAAGTACGTGGCGGAAGAGGAGATGAATCGCTTCGTGGATGCGAGCGGCAAGCTGGCTTTTCTTCGAGAGCTCCTGCCCAAGCTCAAAGCGCGCGGACATCGCGTCCTGCTCTTTTCACAATTCGTCATCAATCTCAACATTGTAGAGGACTTTTTGGAAGATGCAGGTTACAAGTTCTTGCGACTTGATGGTAATCTGGGCCAGAAACAGAGGCAGAAAGGCATCGATGCCTTTAACAAGCCCGATTCGGAGTACTTTATCTACATTCTCTCGACCCGGGCTGGTGGCGTCGGTATCAACCTGGCTACGGCGGACACGGTCATCGTAAGTACACAATGACTTTGCTTTACTCTTCGTTGCACCCGTGCACCAGTGCTCACTCGTCGTTGCTCGCAACGCGGCCCAGGTCTTCGATCCCGACTTCAACCCACACGTCGACATGCAGGCCATTGCTCGTGCACACCGCATCGGTCAGACGAAGCGCGTCCTTATCTTTGACCTGGTATCAAAGAGTACCGCCGAAGAGCGCATCATTCAAAATGCTAGAGGCAAGATGGTGCTGGATCATCTCATTGTGCAAAACCTCAACAACGAAGAAACGCAGGCTGAAGAGATCGAAAGCATCATCAAGTACGGCGCTCAGGCCCTCTTTGCGGAACAAGGAACTGAGGAGACCGCCCAGGACATACGCTACACCAGCGATGATCTGGACAAATTGATAGAGCGTGCAGAGACAGAGGATCAAGACGGGCCGCTTGCGGCCACAGAAGGCGACGGCGGTTTTTCATTTGCACGCATTTGGGAGACCGAGAATGCCAACGGCGAGTCCGACGTTGTTCCGGCGCAGAACATCGCAGACAGTGACTTCTGGCAGGATCTGCTGGAGAAGACTCGCTTGGCAGAGGATGCGCGCCGAGAGGAGAAGGCCAAGCGCGAGGCAGAAGAGCTGGCTAGCGGCAAGAGGCGCACGCGAAAGCAGACCAAGTACGATCTGGATGGTGAGCAGCAAGACGACGACGACGAGGAGTGGGTCGCTCAGCGCGCTGGCTCCGAGGCATCCGATCACGCCATGCCTGCCGCTGCTGAAGTCGCAGCAGAGGCAGGAGATCTCGTGCCGAAGCCGGCTCGCAAGCGTGGTCCTCGCAAGTCTCAGGGCGAAGGCGCTGCGCGTGCACGTGGCCGTCCAAGAAAGTCGCAGACCGACGAGGCAACGCCTGGAAATCAAGATGGCGAGGCAGGACCTTCCCAGCCCAAACCTCGCGGCCGTCAGGTGCTCATGCCAGATGGCGAAAACATCCCGACACCTGCTCAGGCGCAGCTCATCCTCGAGACCATCCCGCGCAACGTCATGATAGAGGTGCTGGACAATGTTCTGGTCAAGAAGACGGACATTGAAGCTTTGCAGCCTTCTAATAAGCGTCCACAATTGACTCATCTGCATGCAGTAAGTGCAGGGCACAGAAGCTCGTGCTTGAAATTTCGCTGATCATTCCCTGCGCTGGGCACAGGTGTATTTCGAGAAACAGCTAGGCATTCCTTATGCGTGCTTCAAATTTGCATTCACCTTCATCGACTCGTCGCAGCTACCTGAGAACGTTCGAGGCTTGGACTTTGACGGGGCTGTATTCTTGGACGCGGGCATCGTGCGGGAACATCTGATCCGCGCAGTCGCGAAGATTTGGCAAGTCTGGAACAAGGGCAAACATGGACGCAAGGCAAGACTGTTGACCGATGCGGAGAAGCAAGAGCTTATGCAAGGCTTCAGCTCGCTTCGTGATCTAGGCGCCACAAACATCGATGGTGTCATGCACGCGGCCGAGATCATGTTTGGCACGGCTGATGTGGCGCAAGCAAGGAGCATGCTTAGAGTTTTGCGAGACAAGCTGGTAGAGATGATGACGATTCTCGGACCATTCAACGACGATCAAAATCGCAGACTTTTGGCTACTTCAAGGAAGGTTCACAGCGCGAGCGAAGCCTTGCTGCTCGCTACTAGTCCGGAGGCGCCGCCACCGCTCGGTAACTTCGACTACATATACCGGCCTCGACCATCGATGACGAAGGCTGAACGAGAGCTTGCACGCCAAGCTGCCACACCGCCTATCGACCCAATGTCTGCTGGAGTAATCTCCCTCGAGCAAGCGCATCTGCTGGAAAAGAAGAGGCAAGAGTTGGGACCGGCCAGGTTGAGCCAATTGCAAGCTCGAGCGCGGAAGTCGGCGGGATCTGCGTCACAATCTGCAACTTCACCATCACAGACTGCCCATCCTGTTCCACGCTACGATGTGGCTCTTGTTCCTCCTCCCACTTCGCAAATGCCAGTATCTGCCTTCTCCAGGCCAAGCACATCGCAGCCTCCGCAATACGCTCAGAGCCAACCCGCGCTGCACAATTCACCACCCAGGCATCCGGCTTCAAGCCACGCTTCTCCTCCAGCTGTTGAGGACTTCTACGCAAAGCATGCTACGAGAGAAGAATCCGCGCCCCGGGCGTCTTTTGCCATCACGAATCGAGGCGGTCAGCTTTGCGAAATTTGCGAAGGTCAATTCCACTTTGTCGTGAGTGTAGCTGCAACACCAGGCTCGAGAGAGGTGTTCTAGGCGACATGAAACTGACAAGTCGAACCTATCATTGTTTTTGTTCGCCTCTTTCTCTTGTGCTCCGTGTGCAGAACAAATGCCCGGTCATGCAGCCTGGCAACGAGAAGATTGCTACGCAAAGGTATCAGGCTATGGCGAGGGCTTTGGTCGCGAATCCTTCGAACATCACGAAGAGAACCCTTACGTTCATGCGCCAGGTCCTACTCAAGAGAGATGTCGTCGCAAGTCAAGTGCCTGCTGTGTGACTGTATAGATTCGTGGACCCATCTCATCAAGACTTTAACAGACGAAAACAGAACATGCTATACAATAGGTTCTTTCGCTACCCACCTTGCTCTCACCAAGATGCTCTTCTTTTACGCCTGCACAAAATCTCGAACATGTAATGCCACGCGAGTCAGACGAAATTCGGTGGGCGGTCTCCAGAGCTGGCCGATGTGAGATTGAATGTGGCCGGTCGGTTGAGTAGCAGTACAGGTGCGCGCTGGCCACACCACACAAGCCAGGGGAAATTCGAGGATCGATGCGGCAAGCTGCCATCAGTCCGAGTGGGGTCATGTCATCCTTCACCGCAACTTTGCCTTTTTGGCCAATTTGGCCTCCTTGAGCTTTTTGCGAAGAGCTTTTGCTTCATGGAATAAAGGATCCGACTTGGTCGAATCGACCTTTGCAGCGCCGGTGGCGGATGACTCGCTCGATTTGCGCTTCTTGTCGCTGACCTCCTGTTGCGTTGAGGAGGCAACTTTGTCCTTCTTGCTCAGATTCGCGTCCAAAGCTTTAGATTGTTGGTGTTTTTCTTTCTTCTGTTTGAAAAGGGATGAGGTAGATGGAGATGCACGACTGGGATTCGGAGCGTCATCGTCATCGTCTTGAACCTCGAATCGCGTATGAGAACCTTTTGACTCTAATTTGGAAGACTTGGAAGAGGTTGATCTGCCTGCTCCTCTGTCCAATGCGGCCTTGACGAAACGTCCAGCTGCTACACCATCCACCGGCATTCTTCTCTCCTCCTTTCCAAATCCGGCAGCTTTTAGCTTTTCCAATCCTGCGCCGGCGTCTGTGCCATTTCCACCGCTCGGAGCTGGCGGTGCAAGTCGAGGCAACTTTCGTTGAGCAATTGCGACTTTTTGGAAATAGTTCCTGACGCGTTCCAAAGAGGCTGTGACGTTGTGCGTCTTGGGATCTTTGGAGTTTACTCGGAGATACACTGTGAGAGGTAGTTTGCAAGAAGTGCATGGGAAGGAGGGAGATGGGGGAGAGAGGGCAAATAACATCAAATGGCTTGTCCGTAGTCAAGAATAAGACACCATCGTGTTGCTCTGGCGCTACTCCTGGGCTAGAGAGAGAAAGAGACACGAGCGCATATATGCGCTCATTCATCGCTCTGGTTGCCATTAGTTGAAGCCACACTCACTCCATACCAGGTCCAACAAGACGTACGCCACGCTGATGTTCAATCTGGCACTGTCCAACCTTCCACCCGATTCTTTCCTATTCGCTGCGTCATTTGTTTTGCTCCTGCTCGATTCCGCTTGACCATTCGAAGCGTGGTCGGAAGCAACTTGTACGTCGGGTTGAGAAGATCCACTCTCTAGTTTTTGGCTCAGCACCGACAGCTGTTGGCAGAGGACAGGGTCGAGAATTTCAGAGAGGTGTGCGATGGATGTCTGGAGCGATTGAAGAGTAGACGTGGGATCTTGAGGCAGGGACATGTTGTCTTGAATGCGCTTGTGGTCGTGGCTTCTTCCATGCAAATCTTGTCAGAGCGCGGGGATGGACAGGTGATTGATTGACTCGGGCCTGCTTGCCAATGCACACTGGATCGTTAGAGGTCTTGAGGACCGTTACATAGAGATGTGACCGATCACTAGCGAGACTCTTGCATTGTGAACGTAGTGATGGGAATTTGAATGAGTTTTACTTTCTGTCGACGCACGATGTGCGTGGGGTGTGCACAGCCAAAATTTAGGAGAGTGGCAAAGGGAAACAAATGTCACGTGATGAAAGTGCGCGTGCACGATGAACGCGTGTTGAGCCGCGGAGGTGCATGCAACGCCGCGGACTCATCAGACTTATTGTGAATGCGGATGCTGCATGCTGAGTGCTGAGTGCTTCAGCGCATACTCACGCGATATAGCTTTGAGAACCAAAGAGGACACCGTGGCTGGCTCACTCAAGTTTACGTTCACCATCGAGAAAGGATGAGGCTATGCAAAACGGGCTTCTGTGTCGCGCGAGGTCGAGAAGGGAAGGCAAAGCTTTGGCATGCAAGACTCAGAAGGTCCGGACGAGCCTTTTCCTCAGAACAAATCACAATCCAACACGATTCGGCAGCACGCTAGACGGTGAAGAGAAGGAAGACCATGTCTACTCCATTTCAAGAAGATTGTGATGGCCGAGGTGCATTTCTGCAAGTTGAACCGACAAAGTATCGCAACGATGCGCACGGGTTTGCTGGTGTCTATCAGGATCATGGCATGGCGCGTGCAGCAACGCATCATCCTCATCCATCAGACGAGATGGCTGCAGACTTGCACACCCAAGCGATCAATCTAGCCTTTGATGATTTGTGAGCATATTGAACTCACCCTGTGCAACGGTATGCTGTAGCAATGAATGCTGATCCTGCAGCTCGCAAACCTCATTGCGACGTTGCTCGAGCTAGCTATGCGGATTTCATGAGGGGCGGTGGAGGTACGACGGATGTGTACGAGCATCAACAGCCACAGGCCGGTCCATCCACGCATACAGATGCGCTCTTCCCTTCAGAAACCTATCATCATCATCAAGGTGCTAGGCTGTCAAGACCTGCTATCCTCTACACACCGCATGAGTCCTCGCACAAGCCTTTGGTTCCCGCCTTCTCCCTGGTGGACAAAGACGCGACCTCCTCTCACTCATCGCCAACCAGATGGGGAGCAAGCGCTGATGAAGAAGGACATGGGAAAGCGGGAAGCTTGAGTCCAAACACCATCGATATGACACATGCACCACCCGCCAGTCAGATACATCCCTGGGCTGCGCCATTCTCTTTGAGGGTGAAGGAGGAAGCAGAAGAGCCGGAGAACAACGACATCCTGAGCGCTGCCGTGCTTCAGCAATCACGCGAGCAAGATGCGTATCCTTGCTTGGCGCAAGAGGTGTCGTACGGCGCAGCACCTGACGAAGTACCCGTTCATCCAGCTATCCATTCGTTTTGTTCGAAACAGCCAGCTTCTGCATCGTGGCCGGAGTGGAAGTTGAACTACGCTCTACCAAGGCCAAGCAGGGCAAATTCCGACGGTCCTACTCTAAAAGATCACACGGCATCCGTCGTTGACCATGACAGTGCATCGATGGGTTACAGCTTTGACAGAACTCCAAAGCCTACTGCACAAGCCCCAAAAGCGCTCGCTAAAGCTCAACTGTATGCGCAAGAGACAGGCACGAGGTTGGACTTGAGAGCATTATGGGCCCATAGAATACGACTAGAGGTCAAACGTCGCAATTTGGGCAGTCGTCACATACCTACGCAAGATAGATCGATGGTGAGCAGGGTATACTTGAGGCGCAATGTCAGATGGGCAAAAGAGAAGCGGTAGTGGTGGGAGAGATTGAGATGTTGAATGGACTTTCATTCGATGCTATGCTTCTCAAACACGGCGACGCAAGCTCAAGAGGCCTCTTTTCTCGCGAAGCAATCAACGCCAGTCGCGCCTCATCAAACAGCGTTGCATCTGACCGTAATGCGTGGTGAATGCGATTGTTGACTGGAATCAAGATTGCATAGCTGTGAGCGGAGACGATGCTCACAAAGTCTCAGTGTGGAGAGCATCAAGAGCGGAGAATGAGGGCCGAGTTGCTGGGCCGGCGGATCGTCATGTGCCACCCCTTCGACAAAGCGCCTGGAAGCGAGGAGGAAGCGGGTCTTTGAGGAGTTCTTCTTTCGCGGACTTCAAAATCCTTTACAGGCGCCCAAAGCAATCCTTTAGACGAGTCTTCTCCGCGCAAAGCCATCCGTTCACCAGGCGTATCGCTTGTGCAGCTCATCGACGCGCTTTTGAATCTGTCTTGGAATTCTTGCGAATTCTGCGCGCAACACCGCCGATCTGGCGGCCAGTTCCTGAGAGATTGGAATCTGGCAGTCCAGACTTACCCCTCCTGGACCTTCCATCGAGATCCTAACGACGCAATCTTGTCGAGAAGATCGCTGCGTTCGAAAATCGGGCGGAGGTGAGGCTGAGAGGGATGTGAGGCCTGATTCCGATCGCATGGTGGGCGAAGCAGTGCGACACGATGTGATTTGGAAATCATGGCCGTCGGATGAAGAGTCGTAGCCTTCATCCAGCATGTCGATGCGATCTGCGTTCGCAATCGAAGCAGAAGCGCGGGTCGGCAGATGAGCCGATGCTAATACTGATGGCGGCGCTGTCGGGCAATTGGTGCTGCTGCTAGGCGCTGCAGAGGCTCGGCGAAGCGCTGCTGCGCGCGAGGGGGAAGCCTCGAGAGCTTCGAGATCGATCGATCGGTCTGCTCCCAGAAGACGAGCCAATGGAGAATGCTGTCCAACGGCGGCGTCGCGGTTGCCATTGCTTGCTTGTCGTCTGTGAGGCGTGCTGGGTGGAGCCATGGAGCCTCGGACGGACCGAGGAGATACGCTTGGCGTACGAGTTCTGGCAATGCTGAACAGCGACGGAGAACGCAGCCGGTGCTCGCCTAGAGAGGCAAGCACGGAAGGGTTGAGCGAGCTTGCTCTCAAAGCCGAAGTCGTCTTTGGTGCAACGGATCCGCTTTTGCTTTTGCTTCGCCTTCTTTTTGGAGAGGGAGTGGAAGGCGTAGAAGGCCTCTTGCGCGGGTTTGGAGTGCTGAATCGCCCACGAAAAGAAGCGGGCACGGACTGTCCGCGCTGTGCGGAAAGAGAAGATGAAGAGAGGCCAATCGAAGAGGCTCGGAAGCTTGAGGTCAATCTGGCTCGTGCAGCGTCAAATGTGCAGCGGGCGGGAGTGGAAGGCGATGGGGTAGATGCTGAGGTGCTCGTTCCCGGTTCAGGCTTGATACCGGGCTCAGTCTTGATGGGGCTAGAAACAAACGACGGGCCGGCCAAGATCTCGGAAGTCGAGCGCTGGGCGCATCGCAAGAAAGGCATAGCAAACCAACGATGAGAGCCAGGGTGTTTAGCGGGACGACTGCGGGTGATGAAGGAAGGTCAAGGCGAAAGGGTGCACTCACTGTGCTCGAAGCTCCGACGCTCGGTGCTCTGCTGATGCTCCTGGCCCGAGTGGCGATGGAACGCTGCGAGGTTGCAATGACATCAGAGTAATGCGTCGATCTATCAGCTTCCGCAGTATTTCATGACGACTCGACGCGACAAGTCGCCAACAGGGGGGGGGCACCCACCAGTTCCACAAGCGCACTTACAAAGGTGTGGTCTTCCATTTTGCTGTTCCGCTCTTTTGTGCCCTGTGGTGAAGAGGAGTCGTCTTGGAAGGAGGCTGGAATGCGCAAAAGTGTGGGTTATGGAGGCAAAAGCAATGGACGAGGAAGTCGATAGATGACGAGAGGCGAAACTTGGATGGCTTAGTGAAGGAGTGGAAGGTGGATGGGCAGAGAAAGCGGTGAGCCTGACGGTAGAAGGCTCGATCTTGCTCGTGATGAGATGTGAGTAGACGAGCGAGTCAATCGGCGTTGCTTGCACTCGTGACTGTCTACACCTCTCCTGAATTGATCTTGATGAAGCAAGATCCAATTTGGAGCGAGTCAGAGGTGCAAACAAGTATCAAGCGCACATGCTTGCGGTGCGTGGACCTCCATACATGTTGCATCACAACCAAAGCTTGTATGAGCGCTACGATCATCCTGATCGCCTTTGCAACTCACTCACTGCTGCTGTCCGCGCTCAAAGCTGCCGGACGCACGATTATAGTGCAATCAAACTCAGTCAGCCAGGCTTGTCTAGCTGGAGCCCATGCCTGCATATCTCGACTTTCGCAGTGGTTGTCTCTGCGTACAAATTGCTGAAGAATCTGAATCAAATTTGCCAATCAAGAATAAGAGTGGCAGCCTTTTGATCCGATCCATATTTGCGATGCTCAATTCATAGCTGAATGATGGGGCTTTCGAATCTGTGATTTGAAGTGGATCCAATCAAGGTCACGTCTGCTATTGAGTTGAGGATCAGAGGCTGTGCTTGGGCTGAGATTCTGCTTTCCGCAAAGACTCTTTCTTGATTCTTACTCATATACACCCTTACACACCACACCGATACACACCGCACATGCCCGACTCACGCTCTGACTCATCGACTCTTGACTGCTGATGTGCCCGTATGCGCAACTGGACCACATCTCGAGGTCTACCGTAGCGCATTGAGACAGGGCCGTGTTCGCCGATCGATGAGTGAATCTCGAATCAACTTTGTGCGACAATTTCAGCTATAGAGAGGATCGAGTTCTGGATCAGTAGAGTAGTCAAGAGTCAAGAGTCATATAGAGTAGAGTAGTCAAGAGTCAAGAGTCATATAGAGTAGAGTAGTCAAGAGTCAAGAGTCATATATATAGCGATGGGTGACACAAATTTGATCGGAATCACGAGTCAAAATCAAGAATCAAGTCATGCAACTCGTCGACTCGAATTGCTGTAAATTCACATTCAGCAGGTTTCGCATTCGATTCAAATCCCATGAGCAGGCGAGGTGAAGACTCAAACCGTGACTCTTGACTCTTGACTCTTGACTCTTGACTCTAGAATGTCAATCTTGAACAAGTGACTCTGCCTTCACTAACATTCGTGCTCCACAATTCACCTGTACTCGCGACTGAATCAATGAACGAGTCAAGAGACACCAGTGTGAGTCAAAAGTCGCGACTTCAGCCATCAGAGAGGCTGGGGCGAGGTCGGGCCGCGGGAAAATCACGAATGCAAGTTCCTGCCTAGCTGCCTCTTCACTCAAACTCAAGACAATTCGACTCGGGTGAGTCAAAGTCAGGCGCGGTCGAATATTCGTCCCAGAATTGCAAGGCCGACAGAATATTCATCAAGATTTCAACATCAAGATCGAATATTCACGATTCTGTTTGAGTTTGGGGACGACGAGTTAAAGGGGGGCCATGAGATCCACCCTCGAATTAATTGTCCACGCTTCTCGCAGAGCTCGCTCAACGTCCTTCACGTTTGATGAGATGAGCCAAATGTTTGCGCTCTCTACAGCATCGTACATCGGTCTCACGAACTCGCAATGTGACTGATGATCACCTACAGCTGTCGCTGCTCCTCTCCATCGCCTATTCATAGGCCAAGCTTGATCAGTCACGGGTGTCAAAATGAACGCGCATACACTTTCCGCATCCTTGGATGAATCACTTGGTCCAGAGTCACGAGCACTCTGCCATCGCAAGAGTCCGTGCCTGACGTCAGGTCGCATCCTTGCCATCCTCACAATCGTGAATGCCATATATCAGGCGGGAGACTGGAATTTTCCATGCCGCAACTTGTCACATTGATGAGGTCAAGCCTCTGCTCGAGGAGACTTTGGGTCTGGAAGGTCAACGAGATGACACCTGAGCTTTCCACGCTGTGCCGCCTGCCAATCCATCCTGATCTTGATCTCCCCTCTTCAAATACTTTGGTCTAGTGAGCTGCGTAGGGAAGAAGGTGAGCGCACAAGTGTTAGAGAAGACGTGCGGCAATGTGTGATCTGGCAGCTCAGAGCATGTATGCGCCAAGCTGCAGTGGAGCCAACGTAGCCATGACCATGATGCAACTAATCACTCACCATCTGGAGACTTGGAGACGTATTCGATAGCCTGCTGAACAGTCGTGATGTTGTCCGCTTCCGCATCAGGAATTTCCTATTCGCACGGATGATCACACGTTTAGAATCGATGAGCATGACATGCGAGCATAAGGTCGGATCTAAGCAACGTAGAGACACTTCTGAGACCGTCTCGCTCCTCCCCTACCGCCCCTGTGCCTTTCAATAAATCAGGCGCGAACACTCACGATGGAGAACTCCTCCTCGATGGCCATGACGACTTCTACTGCGTCCAGGCTGTCCAAACCCAGATCACCGGTGAAAGAAGCGGTGGGCGAGAGCTGCTAGGAGGAGAGAAAGAGAGAGGCGCAGAGCAGATGTCGAACGTCAGCGCATACACAGATGGGAAGTGACGCCGAGCGATGTTGCTCCTCTGGATGGAAGACAACCGAGACCAGTTTCTACCAGAGAGTCCTTCTGTTTCGGCAGCGCCAGACGAAACCGCCGACCTTGCATCTGCGTAATGCTATCTTGTCCGCCCGCAAACTCTACAGGCATATCTTGCATGCTTTGCTTCCTCTTCCAGACCAGAAGCACGCACGCACCTTTGCAGCATCGACCTTCTCGAAGCTCTTGAGCACCTCGGAGATCCTGTTCTGGATCTCGGCTTGCGAAAGACCAGAGCTAGCAGCGTAAAAGCGTTGCTGCTGTTGTTGGATCTGGAATGAGTTGACTTGCAATCTGGGTTTAGCTGAAGAAGATGCTGTGATGGGAGAAATGTTTGCCAATCGGGGAAGCGAGATGGACCGACTGCAAGGTACGCTGGCGCTCAGACGAGCGGATCGGACCAGGTTGCGTGCCATGACCATCATGGATACGAGCTGCTTTGAAAACGTTCGAGATGTTGCCAGCAATGCGCACAAAACAAAGAATTCCCTTGACACTTGCACAGAGCTTTCAAGGCGAGTGGAATGAAGTTGCTAGCCAAGAGGTGCGGGTGCGATGATGGCGAAGCTGTGAAATGCACGCTCGCTGGGAGATTTGAGCCGTGCAGCATAGCATCGTCATCAGCAGGGCGCACGGTGGGTGGCGCACGCGTCTTCTGCTAAGCTTGATCCACCCACCCACCGTCCGTCTGGCACGATTGCCGCGCGCACGTGGCACTTGCTGTCCAGCCGAGCCGAGCCGGATGAACTCCCGCGGCCCGCATGCACTCACAACTCACGACTACCGGTACTCCACATGCGGTGGCCCGCGATGCGCATTATGATTCACTAAGCTGCCCCCCTTCCTAGGCCTCCCTCGACCTGAGGTCGACGAGGCTCGCCAGCGCGCACTTTCACGACCAAAGCATCTCAAGGGCCTGCTCTCCATCCTCTTGCGAGCAGGGTAGAGGAGGCAAGAGACAAGCTCACCTGGACTGCGATCGGAGCTACCCCTCGCTGCGAAAGAGCGCATCGAAGGCTCTTGATTTAGACGCTCCCAACTATGGCTGGGGCTTTCAGGTGCAATGCTCCGGTCCTCGGACGTTGTTCATCGCCTCTCATTCTTACACATAGAGGGTTACAATTCAGACGACTGGGTCTCACAAGCTCGACAATCGAGCCCTGTGTAAGCGCTCAGCGCGTATGCGAGCATAGCCGCTCTTACAGCAGCTCGCGGGTACAGCGACGTCTGGGCCCACCACGACATTGGCGAGAAGATGGACAAAGCCATTTCGCAAAGGGCATGCAGTCCTCCATTCGACTTCTGTCGACCTCCCCATCATCTCACTCTAAATGGTCAGGAGCGCAAAGGTGGTGGACCGTAGCTTTACCTGCTTCTGCAGTTGGACTTGGCTTGACAATCTACTTGCACAGCGCGGTCAGGGCAGAGTCGGACGAACCTGAAGACGCAAAGTCAAGTCCGCACGAGCACGAAGATTCCAAGGCGTTCGCACCCTCCGTCGAAGCGCTGGACAATGAGCCATCCGCCCATCTCATCATCCGCATCCTCAGTTCCATTGGGTCAACTCTGAACATTTACATCATAGAGCCACTGGGCACCACCAAGAGATTCGTTGTGCTTTTCTGCTTGTTCATGCCAGTCCTTTTGACCATACCCATGATTTGGGTGGGAAGCAGGAAGAAAAAGGGACCTTTGGGAAGGAGGAGAAGAGTCAGAAGGGACGAAGAGGGTCAGAGATGGGGCGCTATTTGGTGGTACGGCTTCCTGGTCAAGCAGATGGAGAGAGCAGGTCCCACATTCATCAAGGTGAGCATCAGCTGCATGAATGCTCCGCGCAAATCTCGCACCCTGTCACCATGAGTGCTGCCGACCGATATCAAGCCGCTGACTACTCTTTGCTTCGCTCCTCACCCCCTCCGCCAGCTCGCTCAATGGGCAGGCTCGAGGCGAGACTTGTTCCCCGAAGAGCTGTGCATGCTGCTCGGCAAGCTGCACAGCAACGGCAAGGCGCACTCATTCGCGTACACCAAGAAGGTCATCGAGCGCGTCTTTGGCAAGCCTTTCGACGAGATCTTTGAGGAATTCCCGCACGAGCCTTTGGGCATCGGAGCTGTGGCACAGGTGCGTCATAAGGGTAGCATTCGCCCTCTTCCTCTTGTCTAACACATGTAGCGACGTTGAATTACAGGTGTACAAGGCAAAGCTCAATCCGGAGCTTTTGCCCCCCGCTTATCTGACGGAAAAGCGAGAAAGGGCGCGATCTACAGAAGTGTCTCGACAGCTCGCGCTGACTTACGAGGATGACTCGGCGCCGCCCGCAGTGCCTACCGCATCGGTAGCGATCAAGGTTCTTCATCCCAAGGTGCACAGGACGATCAATCGGGACATCAAGATCATGTCCTTCTTTGCCAACCTCATCAATCTCATCCCCGGCGCCGAGTGGCTCTCTTTCCCCGAAGAAGTCGAAGTCTTCGCTTCGATGATGTTCAGCCAGCTGGACCTGCGAAACGAGGCGAAACATTTGAGGAGGTTTGAAGAAAACTTCAAAAAGAGGAGAGCTGCAGTCTCGTTCCCCAGACCTCTATTCGAGTTCAGCACGCGCGAAATCCTTTTCGAGGAGTACGAAGATGCGCTTCCACTGAAGCACTTTTTGAACATGGGTGGAGCTGCGTTCGACCATCGTATCGCTACGCTCGGTCTGGATGCTTTCTTGGTGAATGGTCGATGACCACTGTGCATGGCAATGCCACTGCTGACTCTGCCAATTACTGCCTGCAGAACATGCTCCTGATCGACAATTTTACGCACGCGGATCTGCACCCTGGAAACATCATGATCAAGTTCTACAAGCCGACAACCTCTTCCATGCTGCACGACCTCTTTACACGTATACTGTCTCGATTTGACTCGGACTATGCCAGAGGGGCGAAGAAGGGAGCCCCTTCGGCGGATGATCAGGTGGATCAGAGCGTCGTTGAGCGATTGAGACCGCTTAAAAATGATGCAGAGGCGTGGCTGGATGAGTTGGAAAGGCTGGATGCGCTGGGTTATCAGCCCGAGTTGGTACTCATAGACGCCGGCTTGACGGTAGAGCTGACTCCTCTGAACAGGCGAAATTTTTTGGACTTGTTTGGAGCGGTGGCGGAATTTGATGGAGCATTGGCTGGACGATTGATGGTGGAAAGATGCAGAAGTCCGGATCTGGTGATTGATGAAGAGACGTTCGCCCTCAAGATGCAGGACCTGGTCTTGAGCGTCAAGAGCAAGACGTTTAGTCTGGGCAAGATCAGGATTGGAGATGTGCTCAGCAACGTCTTGCAGAGTGTGAGGAATCACCATGTCAAGATGGAGCCGGATTTCGTCAATACCGTCATTAGCATTTTGCTGTTGGAGGGTATCGGCAGGTCGTTGGATCCCAATATGGACGTGAGTACCAAATGTGCTCCCAATATACCTGGCTACATTTTCTCTAAACTCTTGCTTCGCTGCGTGCTGCAGCTTTTCCAAGCCGCATTGCCCATCTTGCGCGGTGGCTTGCGCACAGCAGATGCAAAGACGATGATGACGCATCGTCCTGACATGAAGCATTTGGGACCTATGCTCAAGGTGAGAGAGAGAGCTACACATTTCATCCCTGCTCTTGCTGGCTCAAAACAGAAAGAATCGCTGACATGCAACGTCGTACTTCCTCTTTTCGCAATCAGATCTGGCTTTGGATGGAGGCGCGATCATGGATGTGAGTTGAGTAGCGAGCGCATGCAGACGGCGCTTCGAAGCGGTCAGAGTGGCGCTGACGCATGCACGCTCGATTCCATCTCTCTCCGCTCCGCGTCCTGTGCAGCACCGCGCTTGCCGACCCTACCCTCGTCAACGGTTTCACCCGCTATGGTTGGCTGTCGGGCGACTAGATCGAGAATGTTGAGAGTACAAAGCTGTCTAAAATCATTCCTCACTCATCACTCGGCACACTTGCAAGCAATCATTATCTCCTTGTATCATGCACACGCAGCTCCGTAGTGTGCGAGCGAGGTGGAGCAGGCCAGCGGCGCTGATATAAGTCTTTTGCATCGAGATGAAAGAAGGATCAGTTGACAAAGAGCGTGGGACTAAGCTGCGTGCGATGGCGGGAGAGTATAGTCTACATGACATGTTTGTTGCATTGGGCAGTGCACTCGACAATGGTTAGATCGATGGATAGCAGGAGTGGCGAATGAATCGAAAGGGAGCGTGCGATTTTGTAAAGTTGAACAAACACCTGATGGCAAGCTTTATTCGCTCAGGGACAAGGCGTTGTTGATGATGCTGCACCACGCACGGGCGTCTGCTGCCTTGCCGCAATCCAAATAAAGTATGCAAAGCTTTCCCACCACTCTGATGGTGCTTTGGCCCGTCACTTTGACTGGCACGAGCGGTTGGATCTCGCTGTACAGCTCAATGGGTGCAGGCGACTCTTTGCTCGTGCAAGTCTCCGCCACTGCAACCAGCAAATCGTTGCAAAGAATGAGCTGAAGAGCCTTGGCAAAGAGCTGCTGTTGGAGCGCAAAAATCTCGATCAAGTCTGCTCCTGGTGTCCTTGTCCGGCCGATCGCACCGTCCGAAAAGAAATCCTTCTCATCCACATTGGCAAACATCTGTGCAGGTACGGCGACTGACGCTTTGCGCTTCACGACGCGCGTCAGAGTGACGGGACCATCTCGAAGCAGACGGCGGTGAGGGAGTACCAGAGGGTTAGGCCATCGACCTACAGCACGCGCCTGCCAAGCCAACAAGCGTTGATCTTGCTCGTTCTGTCGCTTGGCTTCGTTGACGCCATGCGCGAGCTCCGTGATAGCTTCGAGAGCCGCGACCATGGGATTGAAGCCGTTCGCACCGTGCTGCACGCGATGAGCAGGCGTGTATCGGACCAGATCCTCCAGCAGCAAGCGATAGCGCGGCAATCGCTGCACCGGCAACAAGAGGTAAGACTCGAGATTGATCTGAGTGTGGCGCTGATCTGCCTTGGCATGCTGCAAGAAACTTCGTACGCGCTTGACCTGCTTGCGCGCAAGCGCGCTCGGCGTCGCTTCCGATGCGGTAGAGGGCCTCGGCGTCGATCCTCGTCCTGATGTTGCCACTGTCGGCATGGACTGTAGCCAGGCCGCAACCCTGGCCTGAGCGCCATCTAGACCATTGACGTACCTGCAGCAAGCAGAAAAAGGGACGCTCACCAATCAGCGTGACGTTCGTCAAAGACACAGATGCCCTGCCTGCACTCACTGCCTGTACATCTTCATGAATGCAGCATGCGAAAGGAAAGTCTGTGCTACGCTTTGAGCCGCAGCTGCTGTAAGGTCAGCGTCGTGCGACGCATTCGGCTGAGCGTTCGTGCCGAGCAACGGTTCGACAGCAGCCCGAAGGGATGGCACAAGCGAACGGTGCAGCTGAGAAATGCTCTCCACGTTCATGAAAATTAGCCCGTGCTCCAAAGGCGGGACCAGAGGCACTCCGTTTTGATCGAAAGCTCTCATGGGTGCAACGTAGAGATCTACGAGCTCCTGCAACTGACGCGCATAAGTCTCTTCGGTGGACAAGATCTCCTGCAAGATGCGCGCACGCCTTACAGAGTCATCTTTGACCAGTAGCGTGGAAGCCGCTTCATCAGATGCGGCGCTCTTTGGACTGTTGTCGCCGCGCGAATGTAACTGAGTAAAAGTCTGGCGGGGCAAATCTGCTACAGGCGGGTCTTCAAGCGGACTCGATCCGCCGGCATCAAGGATGCGACTCGACATTCCCGAAAGGTCGTGCAGGTCTTTCAGGTAGTGCATCAGAGCACGAATGCGCCTCGAATGATCAGGTGATACCTGGCGCCATTGCTCTCGCTTTTCGAGGATTGCGGTCTCGCTCTCATGAGCGTCGGTGGCGATGTTAGAGAGGCTATGCTCCATCTCTGGCGATAGCAGGGTTGGACTGGGCAGAACTCCTTGTATAGAGGGAGGAAGCTGCGGAATCTGTATTGGCATTGGCGGTGGCTCATCGAGCAACGGCGATCCCTGCAAACCAGCATTGGATTGCTTGCGGCCGACGCGTCGAAGGAGGGTGCTAAGGCCGTTGCCCACGCTCGGCCTGCGCGCAGATGTGAGGGGCGGAGCGATTTCCGTGTGCGAGTCATTCGTCGAGCTCATACTCCGCGCTGGAGCAGAGGAGGGCGTGAGGAGCGGAGCTTTTTCGCTCAAGCTTCCAACCTTGGTCGACGTCCTTCCGCGCCAAGATTGGCTATTGAAAGATGCCGCGTTTGCTGACGCAGGAGAAGGCGGACCAAGCGGTGCGGCCACGATTGGCAATACCGGACCATCACGAGAGATGGGAGCTGAATGCGGTCCACTGAGATCCTCCGACGAGACGAGTCCTGTCACTCTATTCTTGAAAAGCCCCTCCTTGAACGTGGATGTCGAGCTCGTATGCAGCGAGGGTGGTCGTTGTGTACGAAGCGAAGCACCATGCGATAACAATGGCGTTACGATGCGCACCCAATTTGGCTGCATTGGATTGCCATCGATACAGAGACGCTCCAGCTTCATGGTATGCATCCAAGAGGGCAAATGCGACAATTCGTTGTCTGCGACACTCAAGCTCTTCAGGTCTTTGAGTCCACCTAGAGCCTCTGGCAAATGATTCGCACCAACTCCGTCGGCGATCAGAGTGGTGAGAGCTTGCAAGTCCCCGACGATCGTGGGGATCCTACCAAAATTGTTCCTCGAGATGTTGAGAGTTTGAAGGGAGCTGCACATTGACATGGCAGCGGGAAGCTCCCACAGACCGGCTGAAGAGATGTCGAGATCGCTGGTGGAGTGCAAGGAGGAGGCAACGGTCATTAATTCAGCGGCCTACCTTGCGCTTGGCGGCCACGTGTACTCACATCAACGTGCTGGATATGTAGGGCAGAGAAATCTTGAGCCAGTCAGGCAGTGCCATGTTTTGACAACCTCTCAAATCCACCGAAGAGACATCTTGCGCGATGAGCTGCTCGACTGCCGGAAGAGGTGTTTCCACCATGGGAGCATTGAGCACTGATACAGGTGCTTGGTAGAAGCTAGGAGGCGAGTGCGCGTGCGGTGACGTGGCAGGACGAGCCGCGAGGCTGAGTTCAGCTGTCCTCATCCGAGCATTGTCCACGACGATGTTGTGCGCTTCCTGCGACTGGGCGGAATTTTCTGCATGCTGGGCTTTAGCATCAGCTGCGCGCTTTGTGGACGCAGACGACGCTGCAGAATTCGAGCGCCATCGTCGCAACGTGGACGATATGGACGGCGTCAAGCGTGAAGAGCTGTCTGGCGAATTTCTTCCGTAATCACTCGGTTCTCTTGCGAGCATCTCGCAGGGAGAGACCAGCCGCGTTTGCAAGCTGCTACTGGTGCTCGGCCTGTGAGCAGGCTGCGGTGAGCCCAAGCCGCGGCTGGAGCGAATGGTGGAGGTGTCATCGTTGGCAAATGTAGGAGACGTGGATTGCTGGAAGCTTCGGGGCGAAGCGATTCCCATGCTTGTGCTAGGTCTAAGACAGTCCGCATGGCCCTCGTCTTTTGCGCGTGTAGAGTTTGCACTGGGCACATCCTCGAGAGGCTCTTGAAGCCAGCCGTGCACTTTCTCAAGGGGCTTCTCGATGGTGACGCCACTGCTCGTGTTGGGTCTGGGTGAACATTGTCTGTTCAGAGTCGTCGCGACTCTCGGTTGAGCGGGAGTCCTCAACTCAGCTGCAGAGCTGCTGGTCTGCAGGCGAGAGGGAACGCGCTGCTGCAGAGAGCTCGTTCGCTCCCTCGGAAAAGGTCCCGCAGAAAGTGGCGCTCTGGTTGAGCTTTTGCCGCGGCGTCGCGGTTGACGGTCGACGGCAAAACCGTCGTCAGAAGCTTCATAAGATCCACCGCAAGTCGAAGTAGATGCAGTGTGCTTGTGACGGGTTTGAGATGTGTACGAATCCGAGCGTTTGAGAGTCTCTAGCTCGCCCAGGTGCCTGTTGAGCTCCAGCCCATTGAGAGCTTTGGAGGTGCGAATTTTTCGAGAAGACGAGTTAGACAATGTAGGAGAAGCAGGGACAGCTTCTAGAGGCTGAGCTCCTGCCGAAAAGACTCTAGCGTACGGCGCTGTGACTCTGTCGGGTCGTGAGAGGCCAATCGAATGCGAACCGGTGACTTGGGAAAGCTTCATACTCGTAGTGGTCGGGCCTGTGTCGGACTGCATGCGCAACAAGTTTGGCCGTGTCAGACGAGCAGGAACCGGGAGAGGCGGCAACGGACCTTGCGGAGGCGGAAGAGCACACGCGTGCCGCAGTGATGGGCTTGTGTGGTGATGGAGGCGTGTCTGCGGGCTTTGTTCTCTCAAGGCGTCTCCTCTCCCCGGCGAAGGTATTAACACGCCATCGGGCTGACCAGGCAGAGTTGGCGGCGAGCGGTGTGGTGCGATTTGAAGACCGAGCCCAGCAGTCAGGGCATCCAAAGTGGTCTTTTCGAATCCACCGTGGCTCGCCGGGCTGACTTCGCAGGTCGGCGAAGGCTGCGCTGTAGAGGCCACCAAGTCGCTCTCTGCGCATATCAGGTCGGTGCATGCAGACGTGGTACGACTACTGGAAATCGTATCGCTGGGCGGTGTGATGCTCATGCTGCTCTTATCGGTCCAATTGGAACTTCGAGAGAATCGGTTGGATCCCGCATCAGAGTCGCTGGAAAACCACTGGGAGGCGCGCAAGACTGACCGTGGCGAGTCTGGCGAGAAAGCAATGGCGAGGGGCGACTCGGACGCAGTCGAGAGAGCATTGGTGGATATTTGCAGACTCTTACTCGCATCTCTGCGACGCGTTCGACCTCGATGAGCTCGCAGAGCCTCTGGCGAGATCTGCTGCCGGACAAGCTGGCATGGTGTGGTCGCTTGTACCGCCACATCAGGAGAGTGGGACGACGCGGCAGGAGTATATTGATCAAGTGGATCGTTGAACACCTGGCCGAATCTGTGAGATAGCAGCATTGCGCTACTCTGTGCGGGGTCGTGTTGAACTATGCTGCCGAGCGGCACGGTTGCCAGAGGCCCTTCAAGCTCACTGCTGGGTCGTTCGAGGGAAGTTCGCTCGCTCCAAGAAGAATGGTCAAGCGGGCCTTCCAACGCGTCCACGTAATCTTGAGAATCTTGTTTACGATGTCGTTGCTCGCTTAAAGATCTTCTTTGAGTTCGCTGCATCTTTGGGGTTGAGGAGGGGACAGCAGCTGCCGATGCTGAGCTGCTAGGCGTCGGAGAAGTGGGTCGCGACCGAGAGTGAGCACGAGGTGGTCGAGCGGGAGGGCTCCTGAGATCGGCGCGAGCATGCACTCCCGTTGGACTGTGCTTCATCGTCTCTGATCGCTGCAAGGGACTGCCGTCAGTGCCAACGCCTTTGACATTCCGCGTCGATGCCGAGCGTTTAGGGCTACCAGCGAAAAGCGGTAGCACCTCAACACGAGGATCCATGCTTGTCACCTTGAGGCGACGACAAGGGTCGCGTTGATTGTGTTCCGCCTGGCGAGGCCGAGCAAATCGGACGCTGGTTTCGTTCTTCTGCACCCACACGCTCGAGCAATGTTGATACAGGGATCACTCAAAGGTGTTGTGGTTCTGAAGACGTACCGAGAGAAATATGTGCCAGGCGCTCGCGCTCGAACTCGCTCGTGAGTGTCAGTGCAGCCCAGACTGCAGCACCTCTTGGGAAGGTCAACGGGGGTATCGTGCTGCTCCTCGGGTTATTTGGGACCGAGGTGGAACGGAGCGGGAGGTAAAGAGCGAGTGACCTGACGTTAGGGCGTCGTGCCGAGGTCTCGGAGGCCCTGATTCTATGCTTGCAAAGTGCGGTCTAGACGTGGCTTTGTCCAATCGTAACAGCTCCGTCTGACGCAGAGGGGCACTTGATGATCAAAACGTGGCGTCCGCGATTGAACCCGACTCGAGGTAGCAACGGCCGGTTGCCAGAGGCTACAGGCGGATCTGCTTCGCCGCTAGACAGATGGCATGTGTGCGCCAATTTCGAGCGCCGGAAACCACGAGTTCGGGTGGCCGTTTTAGTGCAATTGGGATAGAGGATGACAAAGTGCCCTCAGAAATTGATTTGCGCGGTTTGCTTGAGACCGGGGTACCTGTATGCAAGTTGCCCACCTCGTTCAGATCTTCATTCACTAGTCACGCTGGCCTTTCCCAGGTCGAGCAGCGGCTGCAAATGACCTTCAAGACTGGAAGGTATATGTAGAGCTCGCTCTGAGTGAGAAGCGACTTTGCAGGAGGCTAGTCAGGCACGCCAGCGAACGTCGCAGTTCAAGTGTAGCCAGCACGGATCTTGCGCCACCCTGAGATGCAGTACCGGCGAAGATGTTGGTCTAGCGGTCGCAAAGGAGTGTAAGAGGAATTTTTCGAGTGAGCTAAGCGGTCCTGCCGTAGAGCTTTGACAGCAAAGACGGCCATCTGCGGAGAAGTGTGCACCCTCGATCGAAACAACGGGGGCTCACGCGGGATCCTCCCGATCCGCGGCCGCGTGGACGCTTCGCGCGCACTTCTCGAGTTGCTTGCCATCGACGATCTGGAAAAGGCGATCTAGCCGCACGCACCTTGTTGTTGCCTTTCTAGCTGATTGCTACTTGCGCTAGTGAGCCGTAATGCTCGATGGGGAAGCCGAAGTCGAAGATCCGCAATTTGGCGGGATGAAGACACTTTCGTTGGTGATATCTACCTCGGATCGAAAAGGCAGATAGATCCATCTACTCCCGCAAGTCTGCGCGTATGTATATAGACGTCCGTGCAGCCTATATCCTGATCACCGCGGTTAGCAGATTGCGTGTTTTGTGCCTGTGGTGTGCCTAAATTGCGGACGCTCGGATCTGGATCGAAGAAGCTGCCTTGATTAGCAGAGCTGTACTTGTAGCTCGCTGTTAGCCTTTGGAGACAGAGCAGCAAGGTTCGCGAACCAGCGCGATGGATTGTCTGCAATCGTGAATATGTTGCACTGAAAATGCGTTCGTTGGTGATGTTTGATTCGAGGAAAGGAAAAAGGAAGGCCTTCTTGTGGCAGCTGCTGATATCAGCACCAGCAGGTGCCACTCAGCGGGCTGAGGACTTTCTCGAAGCTCCAGCACAGGAGGCAGGCTGGAGCAAGCAGCCAAAGCATTCGTCATTCGTGATTTGGCTTGGCTGCTCTCATTCAGCCGCGTGCGACCTAATTGCCGCCATATACAGCTAGGTGATGAACCTTGCTCTTCATGTCCATTCACCATTGCGGTGCTGCTTAATTCTGCATGCGCATGCTGTACATGGCGGCTGCTGCTGCTGCTGCTGCTGCTGTAAGACGTTTGACCGCATTTGAGACTCGCCACTGTGGTGACTCTCCACTCTGCTTGAAGTGAGACAGCCACTGCATCCACCAGTTGCGCTCCTCTGCGCAGCTCAATCGATCGATCGCTGCTGGGTGCAAGACCAGCCAGCATCAACCGTGCGCACGGATCAGCCAGCCTCCTTACCCAGTGCGTCTGTTCAGCTTGCAGAGCGCTCGATTGGGACTTTACAGCAACGACGACGACATTTCATCCCTCGATCGTTCATGTCGAATCGTGGGTGGCAGCTTTCTGACTTGCCTCATGAGCGATATATGCAACATGGAAGCGGAGGTCGCTGCATGCTGGCTCGCCTCGCCTTCCGCCTGCGGCGCTTCTAGCTCGATCGATCTGGCTGAAGTAGGGAACATCGCGGCGTCCGGATGCGGCGCGGCCCTGCATATGCTGCATATGTATGCATGGCAACAAGCTAGGATCAAGGCGCGGGCGCGCTGGCGGAGTGTGGCTTGCTTGCCTGCACGCGGGCATGTTCACTCATCTTGACTCGCGCGCGCGGCCAACTCAGCTAGCTGCATGGCGTCGGAGCGTGTCGAACGAGTCTGAGTCAGAGTCAGAGTCTGAGTCAGAGTCAGAGTCAGAGTCAGAGTACGGGGAAGAAACGTTGGGCCCGGATTTGGGTCCACAAAACCGTATCTACAATCGCACTCACGATTACTACTCAATAGGTGGTCGATTGCGCACCTGTCTAGCGGATCTGCTAGAGGTGATCAGAATCGAGAACGGCAAATTAGCACGCCATGTTGGATCCAGTGTGGCCAAGTGAGGGATCATGCAACGGACGAAGCTCCGGCAAGGTCCCTGCATCTATAGCTTGCACATGATGTCCATGCATTCACGCCTTAAACTCTTGACTTCGAACGGTCTCTCTCTGCCCCTCAGACTTCCTCATCCAATGCAAGGCGGAGGATGTATGACATACTGCATGACGGCTGTCGCTTTGGACGCAAGGCTTGGCACGAACCTTTGGACGCTCGGCCCCTGCGTTGCGCTGACACGCATCCATTCAAAAAGTCCAGACCGCAAACCCGAAGCGGAGAAACGGCCGTGACTGGAGAATCGGAATGAGAATTGAATGTATAGTGATGCACGACTCGTGGCGGTTTATACATGCAATTCTCTCTCAAATCTTCACCCTGTTCCTTGATTATTCATGATACTCGATGAAATTGCCGCCGCTGCTGCTGTACCGCGTGTCATTCTCCGCGCCCTGCAGCCGTTGTTATATATATTCACTGATTCTCGATGAACTTTGCTGATGGTCTCGGACCTGCATGCTCACCGAATTCATCGCGGCTGCATGGATGATCTCGCCATCAGCAGCAGGCCGCTGTCCGCCGCGATCGAGTTCAAAAAGCATCCCGACCAAAAACTCGGGACTCGTGACTCTGATATTTCTTCACTACCAGCAAGAACCAAAAGTGGACGCGTGTCGGGTGCCGAGGAAGCGAATGCAAGATGAACGAGGCGATTGCATGCGCACGCACCACGGTCTTGGAGCGCGCGCGCGCGGACGCGGACGCGCCACGCCGCGCCGGATACGGACGGCAATTCAGTATCGCTGCTGGAACTTTGATGCAATCGCCTCAATAGCTTTCCACAACCATGCAATGCAGCTCAGCTCTGCACACTACTCGACTTCAAGAAGCACAACAGGCTCTCGCAAACAACCGGTGCATCCCTGAACAGAGGGACCAGCTTCTACAGGATTAAACATTATCCGTAATTCAAATAATCAGGAGAGACGGTCAGAGCTGGAAGTTCGAGAGCATCAAGCAATCTAGAACATTCCTCGTTCTCCGTGAGTGGGCTTGACAGACAGGCTTCTCACATCCATTTTCACCATTGCCTATGCGTACACGATGACATCGACTGACGTCCATCCGTGGAAGTTTGGTCAACATTGCATGATTGACATCTTTCTCTCTCTCTATACACGCTATTCGCGCTCATCCTTTGCGAATTCTCTTCGTCAAGTACAATTCAGCGCAAACACTTCCCCGTTGAAGACCTGAAAGGCTAGACTTGAGGCACGCCTGGGCTCTCAGCTCGTGAAACTCATCTCACGAAAGTCTTTGGCCCAAATCGGACATTCTTTAGCGCCGCGCCGACTTTGGCATTTCTCAGCTTGTCGGACCGCGGCGGCGGCAAGGGACATCTTTTGCAATTCCCCACGGACGTTTCCTTCCTGGTGCATCGATCGTGGACACTTTGACCCTCAGTTCATCGACTTCAAACGCCTTGCTCACTGCAGCATCAGCGCAATGTCGGATCTAGCAACGTCCGTGATGGACTCGCTGTTCCAGCCAGGTCTAAATACGCCCATGAAGAAAGCGATGGATCTGAGCTTTTACGGCTTGTTCATCGTCCTGGGAGGTCTATCCTTCCTGACGGGCGGTAATGTACACGTGCTAGCTTTGCTAGGTATCGCTATCGCGCTGTTCTGCAGTATCAATTGGTCAGTTCTGCTTGTGTGCTTCAAATTTTGTCGCATTCACACCGACTCGTCCAGCTGAAGACTCCAAGCGTCTCTCATGCCTTGATCAGGTTCTTGTCGGAGCTTGCTAAGCTGCCACCGTCAGCGAGGGAAGTGCAGCAGATGCCTTCGGATGCGATTGCGGAAGCGAAATCCGGATCAAATGCACAAGATGCGTCATTCGAAAGTAAAAAGGAGAAGTGAGCACCAGAATGGAAGCCAGAGCTACGACGGCTAGCGACTCAGCTCCTTATAGAACGTCACCCTTGCTTGAGCGCACGCATACCCCACACACACCGCTTCAGATCCTGATCAAGCTACCTCGAGAGACTCTGTGCATGTACCTGTGTCTATCAAGGATCGCGTCGGAGGTCAAAGATGCTGGAGGGCACCTTGACTCCTACAAGCAACGCCTGGGGTGCGTGCAGAGCACAGAGGCGCACCCTCCATGGCTGCACTTCGAGGCGACATGCGGCGTGATCCGCTTGCGCGCTGACCTGATATGCGCTCACATAATTTTCGGAAATTTGTGGCCTCTGCACCTTCGGCCTGATCAATCGTTCGATCAGAGGGTAACAATCGAAAATAAATCGCGCTACAGAATGTCTTGAAGCGAGTAGTAGTGGTATGCGTGGCGCGTGTGAGTGAGTGAAGTGAGCGGTTGGCTTTGCCCGGCGACTGGCACGTGGTCCAGCTACAGTATACTGGGAAGCAATGCACGTGATGCGCGCCCCGTCCGCGCCCCCGCCAGTCGCCATTTGGCGTCGTGCAGACGGTGACTGACGAATCCCAAGCAGCCCTTCTCTGCGGTCATGATCGCACCCTTCACCTCTGCATCATCATCCACCGCACGCTGAGGTCTCCCTTTCTCAAATCTCCATAGCCAGCCCAGCACCACGAAGCTTCTCTGCCCCCATCGCTCTTTGCCTCCGCCATCTTGTTGCGCAAACATTCCATCGCGGCGGACCCACAATCATAGTGACGCGCACGCCACAGCTACATTTGCCCCAACCCCATCCTCTAGCAACCATGTCCACGGCCACCTTATCCTCGCTCTTGCCTGCGCCTTCGGCCTCAGTGGTAGATGAACTGGATGATGACAACGTGCTAGGCAGCGGCGCGTCGCAGCAGAGTCTGTCGATCGCTCCAAAAGCTAGCATCCCTCCCTATGGTCAAAGGAGCAACTGGAAACCTCGTCTAGAGGAGGATTTTGCTGATGGAGGAGCTTATCCGGAGTGTCACTTGGCCCAGTACCCTAGAGATATGGGCCGCAAGAAGTCGGTGAGTGCCCTAGTCCCTCGGATCGACGCGGCTCGAGCAATGGTGCGAAGATGGTGTGAAAATGCTGACCGACGCCTTATCCTCGCCTTGCCACTTCCTCAGGCTAAGCCGGGAAGCCAGCTCTCCCTGCAGGTAGACGCTGAGGGCAATGTTCGCTACGATGCCATAGTCCAGCAAGGTCGCAAGGATGGGCAGATGGTGCAATCTCGCCTGAAAGATACGCTACCGATGCATGAGCGAGATGATATGAAGGACGTGTCGCTAGAGAGACCGGACGAGGCATCCGTCATGTCGACCGCTGAGCGAACACGTTTGGCTCTGGAAAAGATCACCCAGGGCAAGATCAAAGCTGCTCAACCCAAGCATGTATCCAACACTGCTGGCAACAGCACTTTTGTCAGGTACACACCCGGAGCTCAGGGTGCTGCGGCTGGAGGATCTCAAAGAATCATCAAGATGACTGAACAGGTGGAGGATCCGCTCGAACCGGCCAAGTTCCGCTTCAAGAAGAACCCGCGTGGCGATCCAAGCCCTCCTCCTCCTGTGCTCAGAAGCCCTCCTCGCAAAGTCACGGCGGCTGAGCAAAAAGAGTGGATGATCCCACCTTGCATTTCGAATTGGAAGAACAACAAGGGTTACACCATCCCGCTCGACAAACGTCTGGCAGCGGATGGTCGAGGCCTGCAAGACGTGCACATCAACGATGGCTTTGCGCACTTTAGCGAAGCTCTGCACTTAGCAGAGAGACATTCCAGAGAAGAAGTGCATCAGCGCAGCATCATGCAACAGAAATTGGCGCAGAAGGAGAAAGCTGCAAAGGAGGAGCATTTGCGTGCGCTTGCTCAGAGAGCTAGGGACGAGAGGGCAGGCATTGCACCTAGCGCCACGCCCATGAGCAACGTGGGAGGTAGGAGCGACCCGACGGATCGCATGACTGCAGCAGGGGGAGGATCGATGCCTTCTGCGCTGGCGGCATACGGCAGCGATAGCGACAGTGACAGCTCGAGCGAGGAGGATGATGAAGCTGCAAGGGAGCGCGATCGTGTCCGAGCAGAGCGTAAAAGGGACCGAGAGCGCGAGATGCGCATGGCGAGCATGGGCAGCGAACAACGTGCTCGCATGCTCGCACGAGAACAGAATCGAGACATTTCGGAAAAGGTTGCGTTGGGTTTGGCAAAGCCTACCAACACTTCGGATCAGGTGGACTCCAGATTGTTCAATCAGGAATCCTACTCTGCTGGATTTGGAGATGATGAGAGCTACAATACGTTTGACAAGCCGCTTTTCCAGGGAAGCAGCGCTGCTCAGACGCTCTATAGACGACCGGCTGGAAATTCGGCGGTGGACGTGTACGCTGCGACGGAGGAAGCTGCGAATGAGGCCATGAGAAATGATCGGTTCGGTCTCGGTAAAGGAAAGGCTTTCGATGGCGCAGATCTGCAAGAGGTGAGCGCGACCCTTTTCGACCTTGCCAAGCGGTGCGAGATTTCAAGCCACTGATCATCTTTCTCTTCCCTTTTCTCTTCAGGAACGTTCGGGTCCAGTACAATTCGAAAAGGACACCTCGGACCCCTTTGCGATCGATGCATTCTTGGACGATGCGAAACGGGGTACGAAGCGATCAGGAATCGAGACGTGAGTCAAAGCTGCACCACGACGGCTGAAACCGCATTGACCTTTGCTGACTTGCCGCTCCTCATTCGACTCGATGCGCCACACAGCGCCAGCTCTTCCCGTACCAAGCGACAGAAGGATGAAGATGACTGAACGCCGGCATGAGCTTCGACGCATCGCTTTCGGTGTTTTGAAGCGTTGCATCAGCAAATGTCTCACGCTCGAATCGCTCTCACCACACTATTGCTAGCTATATCAATCTATTGCATTTCCAACATGACCTTTGCCCCAATCATTCGTTGTCTTGCATTGCTCGCAATGCTTCCAAATGCGCTGGCCCCCACGCGCGTAGCGCGGATGGGTCTTCCTGCGAGCCCGCAAACCGGGCTTTCCCTTTTTTTTTTTCTTCCATCAAAAAGTTTGGAGTGCTGACATTGCTTCGAGTGGGAATGCTACCTGTTGCTCATCAAATGGAGAGGCGGCAGGCAGCCTTCTCAGACAGATGGCAGGCGATCCCTAATGAGCTGCGAATCGCGTGCAGCATGGGCCGATGGACTTGGCACTGAGTGCCCTCCGAAATGCATCTTGCACGCGGCCCTCCAGACGAACGCCAAGAGATTAGCGTCGGCGGATCTCAGCTTGGCCGCCCGCAATGGCAAGGCCATAGCGAATCTTGTCGAGCACTGCGAGCACATTCGCCAGTGCTGATTCTAGGTCCGTGGCGCTGCGAATGCGCATGACGTGGCCCGAATTGCATGCAATGGGCAAGGCATTGCGATTCACTGCCTTGACGGGATCAAGCAATGAGCAGCGTTGGTGCTAGCTAGCTGCTTTACGCGAGTCGCGTTGCTGCAGAGCCTGGCGAAACGCGTCAAAAAACGCCTCTTCTAATGGGTCCTCTTCCGGCTCTCGTCGCCTTAAGGGTGACCAAGCGAGCCAAATTGAGATTGACCGGGGTTGGTATCCTCATCGATTCGCCCAATGCCGCGATATAGCCATTGATGAATTCCACCTCCGTAGATCCTCTATTGGACTGGATATCCTGCAGCATGCTGCTGATGTTTTGAGAAGTCAAGCGCGCTACGTCCAGCGCTTCCGACAATAGTCCACTCAGCTTGAACACCTCCTCTGCTTGCGCCAGACGCTCCTCCGCACCCTCGGGATCATCCAATCTGTCCCGTGCAGCTGCAGCTCTCGCCTGGGCGATAAGCACAGTGCTAGCCTCGGCACATATGCTACGCATCGTGTCAGTTGCGGGGCCGTTGCCAAACAGGTCCCCATTCCTGCATTCAGCTAGAGCCGTCAAGGGATTGATGCAGGCGTTGACGACCAGCTTCTTGAGCACAGTGAGCTGCATCTCTCGAATCGGCTGCCACGTCACATTGAGGGGCAGACTGAGTAAAGTCGCGACTGTTCTCTGCAACGTGAGTGTAGAGTGAGGATCGCTCGGTATTGCGCCGACGTCCAACAATTTGCGATCTCGATACACAAGGGCGGAGCTGGAAGCGCTCTGGCTCGTTTCCGCTGCGGCAGCTGGCCGGAAGATCTCCCAGCCCCTTGGCCTGCGGGATGACACGCCATCGTTTTGAGTGCGGAGATTGCCGGCGGAGCGATTCGCCGCCTCGCGCTGCTGGTCCGCTGCCCCGGCATCTTTCGGACTCTGCACCAGCAAGTGCTCATATCCTCGCGGCGCGCGGGCAGGATTGGGTACAATGGCAAAGTTGAGGGTGCCAAAGGCTGCATGAACGACGTGCAGTCGATTCTGTCTGTAGGCGCCATGTGTGGTGCTGGCGATGATGAAGTTTGGTCTCGTCTCCGGGTCTGGGAACAATCGCGTGTTGAGAAGGTCGAGGACTCCTTGCCCGTTCTGAAGCAGCACGACCGTGCTGGCTGGCGTGAGCCGTTTTGAGAGAGATTTGATGGCATCGAGTGTTGTGTCCGCCTTGCTCGACACGATGAGGCTATCGATCGCATCTCTCCCAAGACCGGCAGCTGCGCAGATTCCGGGAGCCTGCGCTCCCTGCGATCGAGTAGAACCCCCTTTCGCTCCCACTCCCGGACCTGAGCTGTTTCCCCCCAGCAGGCCGTCAAAGACGAGGCCTTTGGCATGATGCTCCTCAAGTCTGAAGCCTTGCTCCTTCCACTTGACGTTCTCCCTCTCGTACAAGATAGAGTCCTCCATGCTTTGCGTGCCGATGTGTCCTCTTCGATTTCGTATCCCTCGCAAGTGTAGAGTAACCGAGCTTTGTTCTTGGAGTGGCATGTAGCGCGCTGCGTGTGGAGCAGGATTGAAGAAGTGCGGCGGACCTCCCGAGGCTCTCTGTCTCTGCACGCCATCCAAGCTTTTCCTTCCGTTGGCCGAAGGTTGTGCGGAGTCTTCGCTGGCCCCATCACCGCTGGCGGACGACACGTCGAGACGTGTGCTCGGATCAATTCCGGCATTTTGTTGCGAGGCTTCGATCGAAAGATTGGATGGCGTTGTCTGAGGGTCGCGGTATTGAGAAAAGTGGACTTGCGATGCTCTAAGCGTTCTTCGCAAGTGAAAGGCGATGAGAGAGCCGATGGATCCCACGCCAGTGACATGGAAGCGCATCACGCGCCGCGAATGGACGGATATCTGCTCGAGAGGGCGCTGATTGTATGCGCCCTCCTATCACCCTGATGGGTGGTTTGCAAAGACCACCCTGTATAATCGAAACCGATGCAAGCGAGTGAGATTGACCACATTCAACTCTGAGCCGTACAGGCTTGGGTGGGTAAAAGTATCGCTGACCGATGGGTTACCTCGACCAGTGGCGCATGCTTCGAGAAATGACACCTGGGAGCTGTGCTTCCTTTGAGCGACGACCTGAGCGCTGCGCTCGCCAGAGACGATGGACAATATGCAGAGGCGGAGAGCGTGCCAGTGGTTGTGATTGAGCAAGTTCAAGCTGCTCGAGTGCAAGCAAAAGTTCAGCACCTGACTGTGCGGCCTTGACCTTCGGAAGACCAAGTCAGTCGATGAGAGGCACTCGATGGTGCGAGACGAAAGCGGGGCGCTTGCTGTACGTAAGTGGAAGTGGTCAAGGGTCGGAAACAAGCCGCAAGTTGTGCAAATCCGGGAACCCTCGTTTGGTAAAATTCAAATTGTCCGTCTCTCCTGGCCGCTAGGGATTTTGATTTCTTCCTCCGTCAGCGCGGCCTTGACCGGCTGACCCAAGCCTGCACACTTTTCCCGTACGAGAGATGACTAATCACCGCAAGACCGGCGCACACGCACGCGGCGTCTTGCATAGGCAGTCGCGACGATTCGTCGATTGCATTGCACATCATCACCTCAGCGACGCGTTTCGAATTGTTCGTATTCACTTGGGTCTGATGCAGAAAAGAGTGTGGAACATGTGCGCTTCGGCGGGCGGTTGGAGGTCAACCCGCGCTAAGAGGAAAGACCTCGCAGTCAGAAGGTGTGCCAGTGAGGAAATGCAACGTTCAAAGTTCGGACAAGGATCGAGAAGGCATCGAAGAGATGGTTGGGGGTGGAAGGAGATGCGAAGAGAAACCATATACCATGCAGAGACGCTGAATCCAGCCACAGGCAAGGAAAAGGCCTCATCCTGTTGCGAGCTGCAAGAAGAGTGTCGAATGTGCTCAAAGATGACCCTGTATTAGATGGGAGTGCCAGAAAACCAATGTTCTTTTGTAGCGGTTTGGGTTGGCGACGAGAAAAAGCGAGACTGGCTGCAAACCGCATCCATGCGGAGAGAACGTCGTTGGATAGGCTGCCGCTGTCGCGAAAAGAAGGTGACGGTGAAGGCGGAGGCCATTTCTTGCAGACGTGTTGAGGACCGGCCGGCAGCAACGAATTATTTGAAGCCCGATCCTGACACGTTGAAGCTGCTGCTGTTTGCAGACGTATTTCCCAGAGCCGTGGCCTTGGGTCGTCTTGTCCTCAATTGCCTGGCAGGCCATCCTGCGTAGACCGCGCCGGCTTCCGCAATTTCACCACTGGCAACCAGAGTGTGCTCGAGCAGCATCGATCGTGGTTCCATCGATGCACCAGAGAGGAGGCGCGATCCAGTGCGCATAGCACATCCGTCGCCAATCCTCAGCTTGTTCAGGCTGAAGCGTCCTCGAGAGTTGATGTGCGCAACTACTGAGCAATCGTCGAGCGACACGCGGTCGCCCATGGTCACCAGCTCGGGCTCGGTCAGTTGCAAGCTTGGCTTGCCACCTGCCCAGATAGCACAATTGCGGCCCACCGTCGCGCCGAGAGAGCGCAAGTACCAGACGACAAAGACAGTGCCCGAAAGATTGCCGAGAATGTGGCCGCCGAAACCTTTTCCCAGTAGGCGCTGCATCGTGAGGTGCAGCTGCCAGCGTTGACAGTAGCTGCTCTTGTCCCAGTCGTAGCGACCCTCTCGTCTTCTGCCGATGACGGCCCACTTCGTGCCGACCACCCAGGCAAAGGCGAGAAGCATTTGGATGTTGAGAACAACGACGAAACAGATGGCGATAAAGATGTACACTAATCCAGGACGGTACCAGTGATCGTCGAAAATCTTGGCAGCGGCGACTTCCAGGTGCTGACGAGCAAAGTTGAGGGCGACGACGGTAGCGACGGCTGCGCTTGCCCAGTATGCTGAAGAGAAGACAGCCATGACAATGTTGATGGCAACGAGCATGAGATATGGGAAAACGAAGAAGTTGGCCTTGCGCTTGTAGAATGCTCGACCGAATGGAGTGATGGTCTCGTCGTCATCTCCAGCTGACATGCCCTCCTTGTTCTCCTTGGCCGCCTTTCCGAAGCTGACTGCCGCGCCGTTCTTAGAGCCCATCCAAACCGTGTTCTCCTCGTACAGGCCGTTGCGCACGGCAAGCGCACCAGAGCCCATAACACACTGCTTGCCGATGGTCGTGCCTGGCAGCAGCACAACACGATCTGCAATCATTGCACCTCGGCCAACGCGAACGCGGGCCCAGCCAATGGAGTCGGAAGTGAAGACTTCAGATCGTGAACCGAAAACGACGTCGTCACCAATCTCCAATAGCTCGGGGTCGGGACAGTAGATTCCGCTTCCTGGCCAGTATACTCGCTTGCCGACCTTAGCACCCATGGCACGGTACACAACTGAAGTCATCTCGTAGTGAGTACCAAGAATCGCCATGGCACGTCGAATGTTAGGCTGCGACAGAAGTTGTCCGTTGATCCAGCGACGGAAGAGCGTGAGTTGGGTAGCGTTGCGCGTGGAGCCCTCGCGGTTGAGACCAAGCACTCGCTTGACCAGCACACCAAGCACGAGATTAATAAGTGGTGGCATGACGTTGCGCATGATGCGCGCGACGTAGTGCCATCCGATACGCGGATTGTATGCAAACCACGCGATGACACCCTTGACGCTGTCGTTGTGGCTGAACTCGAAAGGTTGGGACAACAGCATGAAGAGAGCTGCAAACCATGGTACATAGCAGATCACCTTGATAATGAGCAGGATCGGCGTTCCAATGAACCACACTAGCGCCCAGTGGGGCATCGGGGCAGCGTTCCTATTGTAAGCCGCATAAGCGTCGGAAGAGGGCTCTTCGTGCGAAGAGGCTTGCGGACCCCACACCGTACCGTCTGCGAGTCGAGCGCCGGGCGAGATCTGAGTGAACGTGTTGACGACGCAGTCGCGTCCGATGATGATTGGTTCGAGACGGAAGTAGCCATCGCGCTCCACGCAAAAGGCTCGGACAAGCGACTTGTCGATTCGAGCTCCGTCGTGGATGGTGATCAGGTCGTGCTCTGCAATCTTCGCAAATTTGTCGATCTGAACGTCAGAGCCGATGGACATGCCGAGAAGCCTGAAGTAAGTCCTGGTGAGGCCCGGTGTCAATGCGAAGAGACCTTTACCGGCAGTGCGCAAAGATTGGTTGACGAGCCACCAGCGAAGGTGGTAGTTGCACCACATCGGATACTTGCCGGGACGGTACCTGCCAATGACGAGCCACTTGAAGGCAATGGCAGTGACTGGGCAGATGATACGACTCGTGAAACGGGCGACAACGATGGAAGCGAGCAGCACTCCAACACGTTCCCAAAAGTCGTCGCGGATATAGTAAGCGGAGAAGGCGAGGCCGTGCAGAATGACTGTCCAAGTCCAGGCTGCTTTGAATGGGTAGAAGAAAAGAATGGGCATGAGCTGTATCAACACGACCCAAGGGTGTGTCTGGCTGCGTGGCTTGTATCCGTGAGCAGTGACTGCTGGATCGAGGTCGCCAGCAGCATCATCGTCGTACCGATGCGCGGAAGCGAAGGCGCCCTGAGCTCCGGTCTTCTCATCCGCGTAGTCCATGTCGCCGTAGTCATCGTCCTCATCGCCGCCCGTCTCGTCCTCGATGAGCGCAGCAATACCCTCGACTGTGGAATTGTTGAACAAGGTAGACACTTCCAAACTGACGCCTGTTTCCTTGCGAATCAAGTGGACTAGTCGACCCAGGAGAAGACTGTTTCCACCGAGCAAGAAGAAATCGGATTCGGCCGTGATCGTACCAGATTCGGTGTCGAGCAACTTGGCGATGATGTCGCGGACCACCAGCGCAGTTCTCGTCATAGCTGACGCGTTCTGGGCCCGCACCTCTTCCTCCATAGTCTCAAAGTCGATCCTGCCGTTGACCTTTGCGAGCGGCTGGCGGAAGACGTGCAGCGGGTTGGGTACGACGTATCCGTGAAGGACCTGCGCAAGAGCTCGGTCGATGTCCGCCGCGTCGTATTCGGCATTCTCTTCGACTTGAATGAACGCTTCGGGAGCACCGTCCTTTCGTTGCCGAACCGCAGCTTCTACGATGCCCGGGATGCGGTAGCAGGCGCGCTCAACAGCCCGAACATCCACGCTGACGAGATTGCAAGGAATCGGGGTGGACAGTGGAACTTCCTTGCCCGGTGCTCGAGCCTCGAAGTGACGCCTCAAAGGAGGCACATCGTCGGAGAGGGGGCCAATGCTAAGTCGCTGGCCAAGCTTGATACGCAGAGGTTTGCCGGCCTGATTCTTCGGCAAGTCGTCCATGTAGACGATGGCGAACGGCCACTTAGATGGATGTAAGTGTGATCGCAGTAAGTTCTGCAACTCTGCAAGACCGATGCGGGGCTGATTTGGCACAGGCACGATGACCACCCCGATAGTCTCTTGCAGGACGGTGTGCTCGATGCTGAACGCGAGCGTTTGCTTGACACGATCTTTGCATGCTTGCGTAATGGCTTCTTCAACCTCAAAGGGCGAGACGACTTCACCACCCTTGTTGATGATCTCCTTTGAGCGACCGGTGATGAAGAGATATCCATCCTTGTCCATGTGACCCATGTCACCCGAGTCGAACCAGCCCTCGCTCGAGAATGCAGAGGTGTCCAAAGGCTCAAAGGGGTCGGTCGACGTCTCGTATCCAGAGAAGGTCGGAAGTCCGCGCACTGATACCGCTCCAGTCTGTCCGACCGGCAGTTCTCGTTCCCTATCGAAAGGATCTCTGATCGAAAGCTCTGGGCCGCATGCAACACCTGAGCATCCAGGACGGTCGAGCTGATAATTTGTGGGTGGCGAAGCAATAGGCATGCTGCATGAGGAGGAAGAGGAACATCAGCTATCCTGACCAGGGCGCTGCAAGCTAGAAAAGCGCAACGCACCATTCTGTCATGCCGTAGGAGGGCAGCACGGCGCAGCCACCGAAGGTCTCCTTCAACTGGACGGCAAGGGATGGCAGCAGACCACCAGCAGCATTCGCAATCATCTTGATCTTCACTTCCCTAGCGACGTTCACGCCCTCCGGCTTTGAGGCCAGGATAGAGTGATGCATGGTTGGAGCCGCATAATACCAAGTGGCACCAAGTTGCTTCGCTACAGTCCACCACATGTTGGCGTCAAAGCCAGCGCAGATGATAGCACTACCAGCAGAGAACATTGGAGACCAAAGATTCCTGACGATACCGCCGACGTGGAAGAGAGGCATCATGTTCACTGAGGTAGACACAGCTACGTGTCAGATGCAAAGGTGCAAGGGTATGACAAAGTCACACTTACTGTTGACAGAGTGTGGTCTAAGATCCCAACTCGAAACGACGCAGCATGTACCAACGATCAGGTGGCGCAGAGAGTAGGGTACCACCTTCTTCTTACCGCTGGTACCCGAGGTGTGTAGCACCAGTGACTGGTGCTCCAGTCCATGGGGCATGGACGGCGATCGGCCACCTCGACTAGCAGCAGCTTCCTGACCAAGACATGCCATGTCGAAGAGACCGCACGGTCCACTTCCACGCCCCTCGACAAAGATGATCTCCATGCCTTCCTCCTCGTACAGGGCTTGCACCTCCAAGCGTTCTGCTGCATCTCGCGTGGTGACCACAGCTTTGGCACGCAACCTGACAGCATCGTCACGAAGCTCGCCGGCGGTGCAGCTGGCATTCACAGGCGCACAAGTGTGATAGGCGGCGACTGACATCAGAGCCAATGCGTTCTCTGGACCCGTAGGTAGTGCTAGTAGGATAATATCAAGGCATGTCACAGTTTCAGCAACAGCACTCGGCCACCCAAAACCCTTCGCGCATGCACTTACCCATCATGACGCGATCGTTGGGACCAAGTTGCTTGCGAGTGAAGGGCATCGAAAAGCGTTGAATGAAATGTTTGGCTTCCGCATGGGTGATCGGAGGCCGGTTGAGGTCAGGACTCAACAGCGCAGGACCGCTCGTTGAGGGCAACGCGTCGATGAGGGTCCGAACGCGACCCGAATCCGTCACATGCCGGGCCAGATGGTCACCAAGGGACACGCCTCGGTCCGGAGGAGGGAGATTGTACAAAAAAGAAAGAGGAAAGTCGGACATCTTGAGGTCGTCGTGGAGTTATGGTGGTCAGAGTCGCGAGAGGAGCTGGGGCCACGGGGGTATCAGGGCAGGAGACAGCGCTGCTGGCCGCCAGATCGACAGCACAGCTGTAAGAGTGCTACAAGACAAAGAAGAAGGCTCTGCGAGACACTCTGTGGTTGCAGCTGTGCTGAGTGTTGATGGAGACCGAAGAAGCCTGCGAGCAGCTCTTCCTAGGCTCTGGCGTTGGTTCGCGTTGACTACTAGCGAAACAGTCGGGGTGATGTTTCGCTGGCTGCAGGGGCCGTGGGGCGATGACTGAGGCTCTTTGAAGACACCGTCGCAGCTCGCGACGTTCCAAAGGCACGGTGGTCTCTGGCAGAGATCGCAAGCTCGGCTTGGAGTGGGGTCGAAAGCAAGGGTGGCCAAAGGGTGTTTGGTCGTCTGTGATCGTCCGGGAAGGGTAGTGAGCGAGATCTGCCGTGCCAAGCGCGAGGAATATTGAAGAGGGGCTGGCAACGAACGCAGGCAGCGTGTTCGCACCTCGAGACGGGGTTGATGTGCGAAGGATGATGGCGGGTTCAGCTGCAAGGCCGTGGTGATGACAGCGTTGTAGAGGGCACAAGTTCGATGGCGAACAAACGAACAACCAAAAACGGTTTGGCTTGCGCTCGGCATGCCTCGCTCGCTGCACGGCACGAATCGAAGCGCTGCTGCTGGTGCTGCTGCTGTGGGCGGGCGGATCACGCACTCAGGCTCACAACTGCGATCCAAACGAAGCCAGCGCGCGCATCATGCTGCAGGAAGGCGCTACGCCGCTCTTGCAGGAACCCTTGCTGATAGCCCGCCAGCTCAGGAGTCACGATGCTGTAAATACCGCTGCTCCCGCGGTAACAGCACGACAACGCCGTTCTGAATGAATTGAGCTCATGCACATGCTGCAGGCATCAGGTCGCGCGCAAGAGCGCTTGCATGCCATAGAGCGCTGTGGTACGTAAGGGCGGGTGTTACAAATGGAACAGGTAATTACAATCTTGAATTGGTGAACTTTTCATTACTTACGCCGCGGCCGCGGGCACCCAAGCTCGATGATATTCAAAAAGAAATGGAGCATTAAAGAAGATCACAACGGCAAGGGAGCTAGCTAGGGTACTCTCAACGTTTAAGGTGCATGCTGCATGCATGGTCCCTTCCGCCCAAAGAGGCATCACAGCCTCAGAGCAGTCTCGCAACAGTTGCGCCCCTCAACGGCACCTCCCTGCTTTGAAATAAGGCCTTACAATCTTGAATATCAAGAATGTGAGGGTTTAGCTGCCATGGCAAGCAAGCCGTACTCGTGCCGAACCTTGTCGCTCCGACCACGGTGCACTTTGTCAAGATTAGCCGGCTCACACCGATGATGTGCCCGACTTGTGTGTACTGGTAACGGACACTCCGCAAGGCTTGGTGGTGACTTTGACCAGCTCCTCCTCACAGCGTGAGTCGCCTGTTTGCTTTGTTCCGCATCAGAGTGTCATCATGAGAGTGACTTCGTGTTGCGAGCTTTGGTCTGCCCGAGCGCCTCGACGACGGTCGCAAACGGTTGCTAAAAAGAGGTCGGGACGCGAGCATCGCCGTGTGCAACGATGATCGTTGCGCCGCCCTCTGCGAGAGAGCAGAGTACAGTAACAGCGCTCAGCGGTCGTCGCGGTTTGATCAAATGAGCGGGGATATATCACTTTTCAGCGCGCATGCCCTAGGCTGGGCAGTGCTACACCAATCGACAAAAACATGTCACCGTGGCCACAATCGTGAATCTTGACAGGAGGCGTGCTGCTGTTTGTAGCTTCGTCATCGGCATCGGCATCGGACAGCAGACTCGTGTTGACGATTCACGATTGCTGACAAGAGGATCGTCAGGCATGGCTCTCAATCTGGACTTCGACACGCTCGCTATTGACGATTGTTGTGAGTGGGAGAACGCCGCAGGTGGCAGATGCTGTTACAAACATCGTTCGTTTTGTCTTCAAGCTCACCGGCATCGTGCATCGAGCATCAGAAGAGCCCCTTTTGTGGACCCTCGAAAGTTGCTTACAGTAGCGTCTCGCTTGCATCGGGGCGCAGGGCAAGTCATGGAAGTGCCGCTGATCTCCGAGGCCTCGCACTCACGACTCGCCCAGCCCATGATGCCAGCCAAGGACCAAACTGCTTGGCATGATTGTGCACACGACAAGTCAAGAGCCTTGATCTCACGAAGGTGTGGCACGAGTCACAATATCAATGTTCTTGAAGCCGGTAGATTCAAGATTTGAATTCTTGATTGACCCCCAACCGTCCTTGTTCAAATTTCTGGGACGCACTGTTCGGAAGAGATGCTTCGAGTCCATGCTCTTTGCACCGGTATTTCGGGCCTGTAGCGGTCTGGGTAGAAGTTTGGATATGTGCTGATCTGACCATTTGCACTCGTGATCATTGCACCCAAACCCCTTGGTAGCGAGCGGATCAATGATCGGTGTAGCTACGATTGAGGGCAAAGTCGGTGAACATTGAAGAGGCCCGAGCTTGCGCTTGGGGACTGATGCCAAGCTGGCAGATATCGTGATCCGCTCAAAAATGTTTCCCAAAATACGCGCTCGACTCACGACTGTCTCGTCATCAAACCGCCCTCCCTGTGTTTCCCTGCGCAAAAGTAAGCGAGCCGTTGGGAAACGAAATCGATAAGTGTCTGCTATCCGCTTCACTCTTCTTGCAGATGGGACATGATTCGGGCTGCCAAATCTTTGTCCAAATACTTGCCAGGGATCAAGGCAAGCTAGCCCGCGTAGACGATTCGTTGAACTACGTGGAGCTCGTGCCACCCGACGTCCAAGGCTAGCTTCGATCGACTCTTTTCGCTTACTACGCATGCCTTCGACTAAGAATTCCGCTTGTAGGCTCACTCAGTGATTCCTCATCTTACGACAAGCAAACGAAGCCCTGCGCGAGCGGATGCTTACGATCGACTCGACACCAAGACGGGCTGGAATGATACGTAAGCACGATCCTCGGAAGGTCACTCAGCGCGCCAAGATTTCGGCCAAGCACTCAAGACTCGCTCAATATCGCCTCGTGCCCCTCACGATGCCCTTGCCAGCTCTCAAGATTTGATCAGCCACAGTTCTGTACGACTTTCGCGTTATCTTTCGCGACCACAGGGCGTCAATCTTAGACATGCGTACAACATCACGAACTTTGAGTCTGATTGCTATGAAGTCTGAGGCACAAAGCATTTGGCTCTCGAGCCCCAGGCACTGCAATATCTCTCTCCATTGCACTGCCTCTACGAGAAGAAAGAAGACCTTGTGAATGACTCAAACGAATGCTGGAGGTATCGCTGCCAGCATGTAAGCATTTGAACGGGGATCGCGAATGGTGCCATATGCCAGGGTGAGCTCTGCTAGAAGTTCCGTTATGATACAGGTGATGCAGGCCAAATCCGCAGTACGATCAATGCGAAGTTGCTAGCTGAATCTCCTGGCAAGCACGAGCAAGGAGCTCAGGAATCTTGATGCTTTAGATGGCATGCTCGCCGATTGAAAAAGAGGCCCTGGGTAGCCCTCGTGCCCAGAGGATGAAATCTGGGTCAGCCGACCAAGAGCGATGACGGGGGTCTGTTGCGTCTGCCTGGACGCTGCAAAACGAGTGTGAATGAGGGGAGGAGTGCGTCGAGGCTGCGCCGATTCGTGATGTGCATCGGTAGGAAAAGATGAAGTCCTCGGACTAGGTAGCTCGCTCCTTCTTCGTACGACGTATGCTCTCGTGTGAGGCCGAATGGCTGCTGCTTTGTGTGGCAGAGCGCACAGAACAAGCAGGATGGTGAAGATGACTAGGGACATCCAGGAGAGTCTGAGAGGTGCCCTGTTGGCTCTGCGTTGCCTTCTGCGAGGGGCATCTGCCTTCTCTCGAAAGCTTGATCGCGAATTTGACGCTACCGTGCTTTCGCAAAGCCCGAAGAGGGTGCCCAAGACGGGTGAGGAAGGGCTCGCTTCCACGACGTCAGACGTGCCGGTCAGACAAGGTCTTGCCTTTGTCTCAAAAGATCCCCTCCTTGATGCACCACCGCTCGCAAGTGTGCTGTCAGACGTGCGTCTGGATGCGCTGGATAGCTCTCGCTGCATGAAGCGGAAGCATTGCTCGTCCATGAATTGGTGGATTGTGCAAGTTGCCCCAGCCTGCTTGGAGCTTGGATGACTTTGTCTTATGCTGAATTCAGAACTATCGAGGTGGGAAGACATGACTGCCTAATTAGCAGGACGTAGAGTGATCGAGGTGGGATGCCGAATTTGCAAGCAGCTACGTCGACCCTGGTAGGAGAGCGGAGTGGCCCGAATACAAACGCAGTGGATCGCGACGAAGCGTGCCTGCCTGCGTAGTGCGAGTTGCTAGAGTGGAAAGAGTCGAAATCCGCTCACGTGTTCGAGCACTGGAAGCAGCAAGCGCAAGGTGTCAAGAGATTGAGGAGGTGAAGAAGAAGGGAGAGGCGCAAAGACGTCCAGAAGGCTCATCTTTATATCTGTCAACAAGAACCGTGAGTAAAGAAGCTGTCAGATTCATTCGCCCTACGATGCCAGGACGCTTCGAGTGTTTCCGCCGTCTTGGGAAAGCCACCCACCCATCTGCATCCTGACCTCTGCAGATCTCGGAATGTCTCAAGCGTCTTCTGGTGATAACGATCCTGTTGTGGTCATGATGGCCCTGACCATTTTACGGCAGGCGGCATATTATGATTGAAAGCGTCCGTGTTTGTAGTTGCCTCTTATTCACAGAACATCTGCATGTCTTGGCTGTCAAGCTGACGCACGGGATCAAATTATGCGCGCTCGCACAGAAGAAGCTTGAATTTGAGACCGCAGAAGGCGCGCGTGGTCGCGTATGCGCACCAGCAAGGCCCGGAACAAATTCTGACTCCGCGGGACAACATCGAGATCTTCTTGTTGACGAATCACGAGCGTTTCTGCTTCTTCCAGAGCTTCGAACCAAGTTCTTGCTTGCGCAGTACGTAGATGGGGACTCGCAAGTCAGCTGTGTGATGTTGGAATGCTTCTCACTGTCTGGCCTGACGGTCTCTGAGAATCCTTTCTCAGAAGCGGAAGCTGCCCGTGGGGCCTGCTGCTGGCTGGATGTGCATAAGTTTCGCGCGACACGTGACCACGCAGCGAAAAAGTTGACGCGGGTCAAAAATCTTGAATAGTCACGAACAACGCGGCGGGAGCTTTTCAAATTTGATGCCGCAAGCTTTCTTAGCCTAATGACTGCCAGGCCCCACCTTCCTTGCTCTAAGCCGTCAGACACCCGCAAGCTCACATCAAGTCACACACACCACACATTCCGGCAACGTCGTATCCTATCAACCCCCTGATCTGGCTAGATGGCGCTTCGTCCACGTCTCAGGAGCGTCCTTCTGGCTGCGCATACATCCCGCGGAGCGTGGAGGTCTACTTATTCCCTCGACTCGAGCTTTAGCATTGACAGGACCACTCGGCGGCACGCCAGCTCACGAGCAGATGAAGAGCTAGACGAGCATTCCTATGATGATCATGAGGATAACGTCTATGGACTTCATGAGCTTGAAGAGAAATCGCAAATCGACGTGGCGAGCTTCTTCGCTCAAGAGTCTCATAGAGCTTCCTCGAGCAAGGTAGGCCGGCCACGCCAAGGTGCGAGATCCGACCCAACCGTCTTTCAAAAGGCTGCTTATGGCGAGGAGGTGTCCGACTCCGCGTCCACGCCAAATGCTTGGCCGCAAGAGATCGACGCGGGCTCCCTGAAGAAGGATGCGCCCGATCTCAACGAGCTTGACGAGGTGATCATGCGCGTCAAGACTCTGCATGCTCAGAGGAAGCGAGCGGCTACTCGGGTTGGGAAGGTCAAATCCAAAGCGGAAGATCAGATGAAGCTCTGGGACGCATGCGTGACTTCCGTCTATTCCGCTTTCAACGTCTCTCAGCTGAGAGCACAGAGGACAGCCGCCTTCAGTGGCAGTCCCATTTCCGCCACCAAGCAGGAAATATTGGACCAACTGGCTGGGTCAAAGTCAAAGACTCTCAACAAGCGAAGGTTGGTGGAGCTGCTCATTGTCGGAAGATATGGCATCACACCACTCGTCGAGGAGCCCGCGACCAAAGTCGAGAAAGATGCTCGGGTATCCGCTCCGGTCATCGTTCACAATGCCGAGGTCCGCGTTGCCCTACGCGATGCGTGGCTTTGGCAGCTTGGCGACCCTCGCGCAACCGTCGTGTCCAACGCTGCTGCGCGACTGCAGCAAAGATATGTGGAGCAGCAAGAATTGGAGTCTCCGAGCGAGGAGAGCGACGACTTTTTGGGGCCAGGAGATTCCAAACGCAAGGTGTCAGTTGAGGCTGGCTTCGCCGACTTGCAGCACAATGTTCATGGCGACGAAGATACGGAGCCGAGTTTTGTCATACCCATCAGAGGGCGCAATGAAGAGCATGTGCGTGTGCTCAAAGAGTGCCTGCAAGACTGGGTCGACGACATGGTAAGTGTTGAGCCTATCTTGCCGAAAGAGAGTCGTCAATGTTAATCTGGACAGCTCAATGACTTTGTCTCCTGCCCAACCTTGTAGGCAAGTCTGCAGCCCATCGACGTAGATCTGGCTACGCTCTTGTCCGAAGAGCCCATCGATGTTCCGCCACCTTCGCCCGACATTCTTTTCGCGGTGCGAGATGTGGCAAAAGTTTTCATCGACTACGCCCCTTCACCCGCCTTGAAACAAGCGACGAATCCAGCGACTGACTCGACTTCCGTCCAGCTGGACGCCAAGGACCTCTTGCGGTTGCGAATGTATACTCTAGACGAGCATTCCGCCGCTCTAGCGCAGGCGCTGCTGCGGCAGTACGTGTCCGAAGCATCACAAGCTTCATCGCGTTCACTCATGTCCTACGCCGTGTCGCCGGAAAACGTTGGTGGTATCCCCCACGACCACCGAGAGCACAAGGGCGCTCTGTACGGCATGGTCCCGAGCTTCGCTCAATCTCAACCGAATTGGACTGCTCGTGCAACGGCAGAAAGGCTGAGTTGGCGTGTTGGCAGGCATCTTCGATCTTGGGAGACGGACGCTGGTCACATGCAGATTTCAAACATCTCTCATGCATCGGATGAAAGCAGTACGGAGTATACATTGTCGCCCTGGTCTTTCCTTGAAAAGCAATTATCAACATCTGGTCAAAACGGGCAGCCCATTTTCGGATCTGTGGAGCGCGTGTACAGCGCAGAATTTGGCGTCATCATTTTCGATTCACCGGGAGACTCGCTGCTCAGTGCGCCCATGCTCTCGACTTGGTCGCTCAATACGCTGCAAGATCAGCTCAGCTCAATGGAACCACCTTCCTTCCGCCCCTCGGTCGCACCTTGGGGTACGCTCTTATTGGCCGATTACAAGAGCGGCAGAAACATTACGAGGGGCTTGTCTGGCATAGGAATGCTCGTGGACCAGAAGGAAGATCATCATGCTAGACTAACGTATCGCGCCTCCAACGGTCGAAGGCTTGTGGTCAAGATCGCACATCCGACGCCTGCTGCACACGATCTTGCGGCCAAGGACCGCGCGCTCGAGGCACGTCATGGGGAGAGTCAGTACGACACTGAACGCTCAGCGCCATTTGATCCGGAGTCTGGAGACGTTGGAAGGGAGCCGAATCACGAGGCTCCAGCGTCTACAGCTCCAGATTTCGATAGTAATGTTGAAGGGGCCTTCAAGAACTCGAGTCACGACGATGCTATCACCGCTCCTGAGCCGGACGCAGCCCCGGTCGCACCTGCCGACACGGGCATATCTGCTCATTGGGCGGATGCATCAGAAGCGGACGTCATTGCGCCACAGCACCCCGTTGATATGCGCATACAAGCCTTGCAACGGCACTCGTTTTCGCAAGAGGGTGTCGCAAGCGTTCGCACTGCTCTCGAAGGCTTTCTGCAAAGCTGGACGCAGCTTGCAGAGGAGGCGGCCGTGCACGAAAATTCTCAATCTGGCAAGCGTCAGGCTGCAGTAGATGCAGTGCCAGTGCCGCTCTCAGGTAAAGGAATGCCGCTCGCTCCGTCGCAACTCGTAGTGGGGGGTGATCGTCTGAAACTCGAGAGCGCAGAACATATCGACCGCCTACAACTCTACTATGCGGGCACGTCGGAGCCACGCGCACCGTACGATCCTTTTGGCGAGCCTGCTGACGATCCTGCACAATCTCAAATGGGCGTCGAAGACGATGCGCAACAAGCGTGGAAGAGCGTGATGGACATGCTGGAGGAAATGTCGCAGCAGGATGCGGACGCTAGGCAGCTAGAGAGCGACAGGAACATGCCAAAGGAGCTCGCTAGCGTGCCTTATCGACCTCGAATCGTCTTTGAAAGCGTAAAAAGAGATGGTGATACACATTCGAGCACCAGGATGCGTCTCGAATGGTCAGATGAACCCTTTCCTCCCGCGAAAGCTAATGAAAGCACTGCAACCGAGCCAGCTACAACTTCTACACCTGCTCTACCTTGGTCGACAGCCGCTGACCACATCAACAGCATCTTGTCGCGCAAATTTCGCACCTTGCGCGGCGCCCAAACATAGCCTGGGCGATTACTTGCCCGTGATAGGTACAGCAGGAAATTGCACACATGATCGGAATGCTATATATTGCCCTACATCAAGCGACTATCCTCGTGCTTGGTCGAGCGAGACCCCACCTCTTCTGAAGTGCTCTATGATTTCTCTCCACATACTTCTTTCTTCCTCTGACATTTCTCGCAAACGTTTTCCTGTGCCAAGCACAGCGTCTACAATTCCGCTCTGAGCTAATGTTCGCCCGACTTGATGAAGCTGCGCCCTCTCGTTCGTGTCGGCTAGCCACGTCGCATATTGGCCCAGACAGCCTATACAAGCCAAAGCTCTCGTGCGCAGGTCTCTTCTTGCTCCAACAGGCCCGAGCGGATGAGGCATAACTTTCGCATCCTCCTCTTCCATCTTGACCTCCTCTTCTGCGCTCAGACTCGCACACGTCTCGTTATCCTCTCCCTCTCCCTGCTCCTCCAAAGACGAGATTCTGGCTCCTGGCATTGATGTGCCCGGCTGCAAAAGACGCGCTAGGATGTTGAGGCTTCGCGGACGAAGATGCAGCAGTCTTTGGCATCCCGACGGCGAAGACAGGAGCGCAGCTAGCGCAGCCGAAGCTGCCAATCTGAGTGGCAATGCGCTCTTACGTTCTTGCGCAGCATAAATCGCATCTGTGCCTTCTTCCTGCGCTGCATCGCAAGACTCCACGGCGCATAAAGCCAAGAGGATGTGTATGCGAGCAGTAGCTGCTGATTTGCCAATGTCTACTTTGAGATCCGAAATGGGCCGGTTGGAAGTGGATGCTCTTTCATCCTCCACCTCCCCATTCCATTGCGCAGCAACGCTCTCATCTTGGCAAAGGTTGCAGACCAACTCTACGGCCGCTCGGCGCTCCATCAGGTTAGGACTGGTGATGCGATCGTGCAAAGCCTCGCTGACCGTTACACTATGAGGCTCCTGGAGCTTCGATGCGCTCGCGTTCGTCGAAGCAGAATGGTCCAAGCGGGACTTTGCGACTGTCGCGGCCAGCTCGGGCAAGCTTGCCAAGTTCGTCAGTGCTAGACAAGCCTCGAAGCGCTGCAGTGCGTTGCTTGCGGGGCTCAAGAAGAGCGTAGCGATGCTCTGAAGAGGGGCGACGGCTAGAGGAAACATGAGTTGAGGGGGCAGACTGATACATAATCGAGCTAGAGCTTGGAGAGGCGCAAGGAGCAGAGCATCTTTATCTTGCGTCGACATTGAACTTCCAGAAGCAGGCTCTTGCAGATTCGTGACGATGGGAAGCGCCGAAGAGCTCAAAGAGAGCAGCGCTCTGGCACAGCCATCCTGCACCAGCTTGGCTCTGACTTTGCGATCTTGCGGCGTCGTCAATCCCAATAGACTCAAGCCTACAGCGACCCTTGTCGCGCTCGTACCCTTCTCTGTTCCCGCCGACACAGCAGCGATGCTCAGCCTCGTCAATTGTTGTCCTGCACCAGTAGCGACGAGCTTGAGCATTCTTGTTTCTAGGACGGCAGGCGACTCTTCAGCGGGTGGGGATGCGCCAGAAGCTTTGCAGCGAAGTGCTAGCATTTGCTTTTCTTGAGCGGACAGCACTTGTGGATAGGCAGCCAAAGAGCCGAAAAAGCTCGCAAGCGCGTAGATTGCAGCTCCGTCCGCTCTTGTCTGCGCACTGTAGGGGTCCACGGCATAGCTGGAAGCGTCTCGAGTTCTTGCCTGGGTAGAAGATCCCGACACGTCACTGCCTCGACTGGGAAAGACTGCTCTTCGCGCGCCCAACGATTTGATGGGACCCAGGTCGCTACTGCAAAGTGCTTGTAGAAGCTCATCATCCGCTATGATAGCCACCTTCTCTTGAGGATCAGTAGCGAGATGCGCCAGAGCTTCCAGGGCGAGCATATGTGCCGAGTCTCTTAGCTCCTCGATGAACTTTTTGAGGGATTCCCGCTGCGCTTCTGGTATATGCTGGATAGGCAGAGACGTAGCGCCATGCGAAAGGCTGTCGATCAGCTGTGCCTTTGCCAAAGCTCTGACGGACGTTCTCAATTCCGCTTCTTCCTTCATCTTCAGCTCCTTTTCCGCTTCGCTCTCTCCCTCCGCTTGAGAACCCTCTGTCCTGATCTCCTCCTCCTCCTCCTCCACACCTCTCGCTCTTCGTTTGACCTTCGACGGAGCAAAATCGCCCTGACTATTCTCCGCTGGTGTTGTTCCGCTCAATTTCAGGAGAGACAGACCGACGGCTAGAGCTGCTCGAGCTAGTACGCTCGAGGGCGGGGAATGTTGCAGTTCAGCAGCATCCACCACATCGCAAGCCCATTGCACAAAGTGTGAAGAGTGCGAGAGCAGCTTTCTGAAATTGGCGTGAGAGCAGAGTGAGCTGAATATTTGCGTGACTGATTGCAGCTCTGCACTTGACCAGATGGTCTCTGCTCCGAGGGATGTGGAAGCATTGGGCGAGTCTGAGGCTGCGGCTGCGGCTGCGGCTGATGTAGCGTGATCCAGAGCTGCCTCTGCGTTGCTCAGCAGATCTGGCAAGAGCCGAGAGAAGGACGCCGCGCATTTGTCCGGCACAGCAGCAATGAGCACACCGAGCGCTCTCAAAGCCGACAATCTGAGCTTTGCCCCCTCCTCTTCCTCTTCCTCTTCCTCCTTCTCATCTCCACCTGACCTCCTCATCAATCTCTTCTCCATCTCCCTTTCCAGCTTCTCATACTCTGACAAAATCTTCGAAGAAGGAATGCTATCGCTCTTCTCGCTCTCTGCCACACCCACCGACACGCCAGCCAGTCGAATCAAGCTCAGCGTGCCATGGCCAATCTGCTCCCGCGTCGCCAAGGGGGAGAAGGATTGCAAGATGGACGACGCATCTTGTTGCAACGACAATCCATCCAGCGACAATTCCTTCATTTCTCCGCCCTTTGCGACCATGCGGTGAGATGATGGATCAATTGCGGAGAGTGAATGCGTGGATGTGAGTGAGTGAGTGGATGGGTGAGTGAGTGAATGATGAAGAGGTTGATGGACCAGCAGCTGCGGGCGCTCTTGCGCCGCTCTACACTCAAGACTGCATGAGGTGGAGGAGAGGATATGCACACCGCGCGTATGCACACCGCGCGTGTGGGAAGCATCAGCATACCAGCAAAGACGCGCGCGTGCCTCCCTCGGCCGCTGCTGGTGGGTCGGCATGAGTGACTCAAGAGACTTGGACCTTGGCGGTGGTGTGTTTGCGTGCACTCGTCATTTGGCTTGGGCATCTCATCTCCCTCACTCAAACAGTCACTCGTCACTCCATCAACCACCAAGACGCTCTGAGTTATTGACAGCCACGTGATGTTGAGCGCGAATTCCTACAGCCCCATATAGCTCTCAGCACTCCAAAATGGCAGATCAGCTCTGCAGAGCAGATCACCACGAAGCTTTCAGATTGCCTGTCCAGCTCCAACAAGTGCGCATTGAGTCCATGATAGATGACGATCAAAGCGTCGATGGATTGAAAGGGATGGATTCAAAGGGAAATACGCAAAGGCATTACTCTGTGCTCGTGAGACGCGAGTGGCTGTCCAAAAGGACGTCGAGTAGGCCCACTACTTCATCCGTTCAAATCCACAGCCTCCTCATTCAGTCTCTCCGCTTCCCTCATGTCCAGCTCCTCCTGCAAGCTCAAGACCGCAGCCTGAACACGTCTCCTTTCCTCATCCATGTCTCTGTACTTTGCTTGCGCTTCATTCTCCCTATTCTCCAGCATCCTCACCTCTTTCATCAACTTCTCCGTCCTCTCCGCCATACCCGGTCCTTCATCCTCCTGCAATCGTTCAAACGCAGCTCGCTCCACAGAAGCTTCCACGAGCGCGTTGCTCGTCTCCTTGATCTTGTCCGAAAGAGCCTTGCTTCGCGCCTGATACCCTCCCAAAATCTTGCCCAGTCGCTTCTCATCTTTGGCAGCCGAGGTGGATAGTTGACTCATGGCAGATCTCGCAGCTTCCAATCTAGCTTCCAGGCCCGCTAGCATTTGTTGCTCGCTCAACAAAGACTTATCTACCCATGCGCCTGCGCGCGCATCCCACGCTACAGACTTGCGTCCTTGCTCCAGCGCAGCTTCTAACGCTTCCAGTCGAGCTGCTCCATCCTCACTGCTGGCGTCCAGGGAAGAAGCGGTGAGTCTCTTGAGCACGTCGGGCTTGGCGCCAGGGTATCCTAAGTTCTGCGCAAGCTCGCTGTGGACCAGCGACCTGGCTTCTTGCAATCTTTGATCCTCGATCAGCGGTAGACTGGATTTGGCACCTCCAGGCGTCCGACTGCCCCGTATAGGATGCTCGACGGAATCGTGATGCAAAAGCCTGACCATTTCCGCATTGATAAGTTGGCGAGCGCGACTCTGAGCATCGTGCGCATCTTCCAAAGGCAAAGCTGCAAACAACTTTGCAAGAACCTGTGCATCCACGTTGGCAGGCCGCGGCAAGCCCCTCTGGACCACCTGAGTCCTCCGAGCCAGCTCCTTGATTCTCTGTTCTTCTCTTAACTTGGCTAGCCGTGCATCGCGCTCAGCCGCATCTTCTTCGCTCAAAGTCACCATATCGGCCAGTTCCTCTTCACCCTGACCTCCACCCTCTTCCTCATCCATGACCAGCTCAAAGTCGTTCTTGGGCGCGGGCAAGCTGCTCAGGCCAGCTTGCAATTCTCTTCGAGAAGCAGCCAGAGCCCGCTTGGCATCTCGAGGTGTGTCAGCTATCGACGACAGGCGATCTTCGGCATTCAAGCCTAAATTATCGCGAAGGGGCGTGCGTAGAGGTGTGCGGCCATCCGCCACCGTGGAGCCCACTTCAGATCGAGGAGTAGCAGATGGGTAGCCCACAGCTCCGTTGGCGCCCCTCACGCTCATTGGTGTAGCGCCAGGCCCCACATCTCTGCCGGTGTGCATGGGGGTCAACAGCGGATTGGGAGTCTGAGCAACGCCTTGTCGTGGGGTCATGCTCGCGGCGCCGGTGCCTTCGAGCAAGGGCGCGTTTGCTTCTCCCAGCAGAGGCGTTTGTGCGGCAGTCATGTTGCGCAGGTTTCGCGCCTCGCGCATGACTGTGTCCTCTATAGATGAGAAGCAGGTCCGTTAGAGCTGTCTGTCTGGCGAGCTCAAAGCATGTTGCCATGACTTACCTTCGGGAGCGGTCCTGGCGGTCCTGGCTTGCTTGGCTCTATCTAGAGGGGTGTACTCCCCAAGCAGACCCTCGCTCGCCTCGTTTCCATCCTGCACCAGTCCACGCGTCATTTCTCCTGCATGTCCCAACTTCACGATCTGCTCAACCTCTCTCTCGCCCACCTGAGCATCCGGCAGGTTCAGCTTGCGCCTCTTTGAAATTTGTTCTGCTTCTTTGAGCTTCCTAATTTGTTCCTCTCGTTGCGCGGCGGAGGCATCTTTTCCCTTTTGCGCGCCCGCAGCAGAAGCTTCGTTCGTCTTGCGCTTGCGCTCTTCTGCTGACTCCTTGCGCTTGCCGTCGAGCTGTGCTAGCGTCTGACCTACAGGAGCGCGGTACGAGCGCGATGCTTCGTCCGATGTGTCGTAGAAGCCCGGCACTGGCGCTTTGGCGTAGGGAATGTCCTCGTTGTAGTCCATGCCCTTCTTTGGTTTCTTTGGTCGCATACTGTAGGGAGCAGTGAATCGTTGAGACGAAGTTTCAAGCCACGCGCAGCTCAAAGATTAGAGACTCACATGATGCCTGCCGCTTTGAGTTCTCTTCTCTTCTGGAGTAATGCGAGGCGTCTCGCTTCCTCCAGTGCCTGCTCTCTCGCCTTCCTCTTGGCCTTCTTTCCCTGAGTATTGGCTAGACGCGCACGCGCTTCGCTGAGCATCTCCTTTTCATCTTCATCCATATCGATAGGGTCAGGTCTGGCAGGCTTCGTCTCGGGATCCGGGTCGATTTCTCCCGGTCTCAATCTTCTCACGTCGTCTGCCGTAGGAGCGCCTTCGGGTCCGCTGGGTCCGGCAAGCCCCAGCCCTGCACTCGAACCTTCCTCTCCATCTCTCTGCTCAGCCTCATCCAGCAATTTCTGATACCGCTCCAAACACTGTGTGGCAGTTCGACCAACGATGGGAGCGATGGTCCTCCATTGGGTAGGCATCAGCTTGGCCAAGTGCAACAGCTTTTCATCCTCTTCCTTGGACCACTCCGTCTTTTTGATGGAGGGATCCAGCCATTCGTACCATCGAGCTTTGCACTGTTTGGGCGTCTTGCGCACCAGCAAGGATGAGATTCGAGCCCACTGATTCTTGCCGTACTTGGAAATGGCAGCTTTCAGTATCTCGTCCTCCGTCTATGTGAGAGGGACAATGGTGTCAGCAAACGCTCGAGCATCTTTGCGAGGAGCAGTACAGCGACTCACGTTCTTCCACACGCCACCCTTGATGATGATGCGCACCATCTTGGCGCCGGACCCTAAGGCGCGAAGCTGTGAGGACCGTTGTAAAGAAAGCGAGAGCTCAAGCTTGGATCAAGATCCCTCTCTCAGCTTCGTTCTCGAACGCTTCGCAACTTGTGCAGAGTGGTGAATGACTACGCAGCGGGCGTTGCACAAAGTCAGGTTGGGGAGCTGAGATGCGATTCTTGATTCGTGAGACGGGGATTCTTGATTGCACACGAGATTCGGACTCACACTCGTGACTGGGTCGCCGACGGATCATGAGGGTCAGAAGCAGCGATCGACGTGGTCGCACCCATGCGCAGACCCTCTCGCACGAGAAGAGTCGTGTGTGCTGCGCGAGCGTGCGCACCTTTTTGACTTTCCACCTCTTCGCGTCGCTTCGACGCGGTCGGCGACTTCTGGATTTCTCGAGTCAAACTCAACGCACAGACTGGGCACGCAGCTTCAACAGTCACACGCGGAAGAGGGAGCACACCAGCAGCCATAGCAGTGTACTTTGTTCAACTTCGCATCTGCTCGAGAAAGCGTCGTCACCATCACCGCCATCGCTACACTGTGTTTTCGAGGCGATCAAGCGTCACCGCATCAGCACCACGGAAACACCCTCTATCATGGCGGAACCTCAAATCGCGTACGCTCAAGACGAGCATGGTCGACCGTTCATCGTGGTGCGAGAGCAAGGCAAGAAAACGCGAGCGCAAGGCATTCAAGCTCTCAAGAATCACATCTCAGCAGCCAAGTCTGTAGCCCAGATCGTCAGGACGTCATTAGGACCTCGGGGATTGGACAAGATTCTGATCTCGCCCGATGGAGATATTCAAGTGACCAATGATGGAGCTACGATTATGCAGAATATGGAGTTGGAGAATCAGATCGCCAAGCTCATGGTCCAGCTCAGCGCGAGCCAGGATTCGGAGATTGGAGACGGCACTACTGGCGTAGTAGGTGAGTCTGTTGCGCTCAGGCACGTTGTGCGTCTACATGCTGACATCGTTCTACCCACTGGCCTTTGAACAGTGCTCGCTGGTGCCCTGTTGGAGCATTCAGAGGCGCTGCTGGACAGGGGCATTCACCCCATTCGGATCGCAGATGGCTTCGAGAGGGCTTGTCAAGTGGCCGTCTCTGCTCTTGAAAAGGTCGCTGATAAAGTCGACTTTGGCAAATCCAAGGGCGAACAGGTGGAGCTGCTCAAAACGGCAAAGACGAGTTTGGGAAGCAAAATGTAAGTCGTAGCGGCTTGGCGCTGCTGTGTGGATTGGCTGGCCTCTACAGACCGTCTATGCATGGCATGCGGCTGACTTTTGGTCTCTCTGCCCACAGCGTCTCGAAAGCTGGAGACCTCTTCGCCAACATTGCAGTCGACGCTGTGCTCTCAGTGGCCGATCTGGACCGCAGAGATGTCGACTTTGAGCTCATCAAAGTGGATGGTAAATCCGGCGGCTCACTCGAGGACACTGCCCTGGTCAAAGGAGTAGTGGTGGACAAAGATTTCTCTCATCCACAAATGCCTCGCGAGGTTCGTAACGCCAAGATTGCGATTCTGACGTGTCCATTTGAGCCACCTCGACCCAAGACGAAGCACAAGCTGGACATTACGAGTGTCGAAGAGTACAAAAAGTTGCAAGAGTACGAAAAGACGACGTTCGAGGATATGATAAAGAGGGTCAAGGATTGCGGTGCTAACTTGGTCATCTGTCAATGGGGCTTTGACGACGAGGCCAATCATTTGCTGTTGCAGCACGACCTGCCCGCTGTCAGATGGGTTGGTGGACCGGAAATCGAATTGATCGCTATTGCGACGAATGGAAGGATCGTGCCTCGCTTTGAAGACCTCAGCCCCGAGAAGCTCGGGACTGCTGGTCTCGTCAAGGAAGTTGGATTCGGCACCACTCGTGACAGGATGCTGGTCATTGAGGAATGCGCCAACCCTCGCGCAGTCACTGTCTTCGTTCGTGTGAGTAGTGTATGTCGCACAATACTGCATGTGTCGTGTATTCATCTCTGCTTCATCTATGTGCGCTTTCGACGCAGGGGTCCAACAAGATGGTGAATATCCTCTCAATACTTGGCATCAGTTTGCTTGTCCACCCGCTTACCTTCGAACGGCTACCCTACAGATCATCGACGAAGCCAAGCGTGCTCTGCACGATGCCATCTGTGTGGTCAGGAATCTCGTAGTCGACAATAGGGTGGTATATGGCGGAGGCGCAGCCGAGATTGTCGCGAGCGTCGCGGTAGCCAAAGCTGCCGACGAAGTGAGTTCACGACCTGCCTTCCAATTGGAGCCACTTTTGGGTGGCTGACCTACCGGCCGCGCTCTTCCGCCATCAGATCGCAACGATCGAACAATACGCGATGCGAGCTTTCGCCTCTGCTCTGGACGCTATCCCGCTAGCTTTGGCAGAGAACAGCGGCTACGCTCCCATCGAAACTCTGGCAGAAGCAAAAGCTTCGCAGATCAATACAAACGACCCCCGCATCGGTATCGATTGCATGGGCTCTGGTGTAAGTCTCGCTCTCCTCGCTGCTCGCTTCGACCCGGTGAGCCTGGATGTTCATCTGATTTCTTGACGTCACGTCATCCTACCTATCCTAGATCACCAACATGCGCGAAGCTCGCGTATTTGATCCCCTCGTCTCGAAGCGTCAGCAGCTCCTGCTTGCGACACAACTGGTCAGAGCAGTCCTGAAAATCGACGATGTGGTGAGTAGTTGCTTGTCTGCGCGATGCTTCTCGATTCTCTTGCACGCGCTAATGGACGCACATCTTTGTGCTGTGCTCAGATCGAGCAACATAACGTCGAGTGATGTTTGGCTAGGCGATCTTCGTGGGATGTCCACGAGAATGGCAAGGGCTTCAACCATTGCACTATGGCCTTGTGTGTGATTGCATGTGATTATGACGAGTGATGATACAAATGATGTGACCGAGCGCGAAAAGTTTGGAACAGCATCGTCGCTATCAGAGTGCATGTGGACGTCCTTGATGGTACATTCGACTCTCACGTGGGTGGCGTGCGCTTCAGAAAAGAATGTGCATGCCGACTGTGCGACCAGGAGGTAGAGTGCAACCAGCGAGCCGAGCACCCCGCGCATGCCCTCGGTCGGGCCGCAAAGTCCCAATGAGACCTGCATGTTCCCACAATGAGCCCTGAACAGGACCTGGTGTGCCCCATACTGCCCTTGAAAACTGCTTGATCCATTGTCGCTCTTATGGAAGGCTACGGCCTGAACTTCGTCGATTCAAGCTGGGTCAGATGCTGCCAGACCCGGGGAGGGGATTCCTGAAGATGACATTCTAGCTAAGTGCGGTAGCCTTTTCAGGTTGCTTCTTGACCTGTGCCGCCTCGATCTCTCGGCCTTTTTCCACCATAGCTCTCAAAGCTTCCTCACTTGTGCCCTTCTCTTCGTACCTCTCGAAATCTCCCTTGCTTAGGTTATCATCATAAGAAGTTTGGATAGCGTCTAAAAGATCTTCCAAATTGACCAGAGCTGTGTGAAGCGCGTCCAGCGCCGAGACTCCGTCTACGCGAAGTCGAGCGGACAAGAGACATTGTCAGTACCGAGTCGCTATTTCTTGCTTCTGATCACCAATGCTATCCCAGATGCACTTGCAATTCGCATATCAGTAGGAACAATTGTAAAACTTATCCATCATCATTCCACCCACCCTCTTTGGTGTGGGGGTGCTGATAAATCCCTTAAGTGATGTCATCATTACACGCGCATTGCTCCTGCATCCGCTGTCCTCTTCGTCCGCGCACGATACTAGGATCTAAAGACAACAAGACTCACCATACATCTGAACTCTGAGGTGAATCTTGCTCTCGCTGGGATGAGGGTTGCTGTAGCCGCAGAACTCGACTTGAGGGCTGAAATCAGGATCCAGAGCGAGGAGATGGTTGAAATAGTCAGTCAAGACTGAATCGCCGCAAGGACCAAACCAGATCATGACCTCTCTCTCTCTCTCTCTCTCTCTCTCTCTCTCTCTCTCTCTCTCTCTCTCTCTCTCTCTCT